TGTTCGTTACAATCAAGCGTTCGTTATGACTCAACAGTAATTAATTTTACTTAGAATTATCGTGTTTTATTATAACAATCCCCCGCTGTTCAAGCAAGGGGGCTCTCGAAGGTGTTTGATAGCCATGGGCTCCAAAAAACTTAACCGGGCCTGAGTGTGCTGTGTGTGCTTCAATAAGTCCGCTGAGCCATCTCCACGTGGTCACTGCTTGACGAATATGACGAAGCGTGTACGCACTCCTCGTACAGAGTGGGGGGCGGGGCGACAATGTGTCATTCATGTATATGAATATTCAATCGGACGTGTTCGCTGTACAATTATCCGCGTCGTTTCGAAAGATACAAATTAGTACCCATTTGTTCCCTTTCACTATCTCGACCGGTTCATTGGCGTGGACAATGAGCGAGTGGAAAATACAAACGGGCGCCATTTTTAATAACCGGCGAAATACCGACCGCCGCGGCATGACATTTCAATCTACACTTTTATAAGAGAGAAAGCACGCCCACGCGTCAAATAACAGGTCCTGCGATCTACTAAACACGTTCGGTATATTGGTCACCGAGATTTTATAAGCCTATACATCATTCCGCATAAATTATCGTATAAACGAACCGGCTATGGTGGTGTCCCAAACAGATCGACCGAACCACCCAGTCCCTGAAAAAACTTAAGACCAATCGTTACGTTACGTCGATGCGTCACAGGTGTGTTCTACCATGCTCGGAAGCCGAATCATAGGAGGCGTGCCGGTTTGAGATACCGCGCCTCGATATTCCGTATGAAAAACATAGGGTTAACCGTTCGGAAGACGAACGCGGTTTTTACGGTGTGTGGTAGTGATGGGCGATACTGTATCGATACTTTTCAATTCAAATATATATATATGGTATCGATATTTAATATGACAATATATTCCAGTATCGATACTTAACCCATAAATTTCGACACAATCGCTAAATTTGCCGTAACGTAACAGGTCGTAAGGAAAATGGACCAATCGCGGGCTTCCCATAAAGTTTGCGATTGGTGCCAATTTCTTTTCATATTGTTACCTGAGAATTTCTACCTTAGTAAAATATCTTTGCTTAAATAAATGATTTATTTTCATTTTTGGATTTTATTACTTCTAATTTAATTGCAAGTGTCGATACCGATAATGTCGATATTTTATTCTCGATATACATACGTGTGTATCGATAATATAACTTTTTTTTTTATAACTCGTGTATTCATTAATTTCAAAACATATAATTATCCGATGTAGCGCAATCAATCATGTAAATTTTCCCGTTTCACTGACTCACCCTGTACTTTCCACCGCGAAAATGTCCCAAGACCACATTTTTTCCCGTTCGTCAATGAGAAACATCGAAATCGTTGAATGCAATAGCGATGCAACATACGGTCGCTCATTCAATATACTATTGTCTTCGCGACGTAATAGTCCCTGGTGCCTTGCGGTCGGTTGCTACAAGATTTACGACGCGGGGTTCTCGGGGGAAAATAAAATTACAAAATCCATCGCACGTGAGCGTTTACGAGTCAAGAAGATATGTACGCGTGAGGCGAAGGGAGCGGAGGGAAACAGTTTTCCGGGGAATATATTTTGAAACCGTTAAGGGAGACAATTTGAACAAAGCGACAATTCTACTAGTAATAGGCTACTACAAACTTATTTATAGGTTATAACTGTTCCCCCGCACATGATCAACATCGGAGGGGGGCATTTTCGTGCCTTGTTTACCCTTTCTTTCGTTTATTAAGAATTCCTTAATTTTCAAAAGGTCTCCGTGATCGAGAATACCATGGATCTGTCTCGAAGATGATCCATCATAAGTGAGAAAAAGACACACGGGACGATGTGCATCAAGAACGCGGAACGGGCACTGTCCTGAAACTGTGAACGCCGCGCGCGCGGCGATACGGGCGCGTTTCATAGTTTCCACGCAACTGTGCCGATGCCAATTACCGTTGGGGGGAACAATGATCGACATATGTCGTAAGCGAATCCGTTACATCGAGCCACTTCACCAATTCAAATCTCACTGTTACACCGAAGGAAAACAAAAAAAAAAAAGAAGAAAACTTTCTACCCACATGTGTTTACACACATATATTATCCTCATAATTACAACACAAGGATACCATAAAAAGAAACATACGCCACATACACAGACTACACACACGCTATCAGGAGTCGTTCACACGATCGCATCACAGCCGTGGTTCAAACGCAGCGACGGCGACGAATTCACTGTGTGCCAATTGTGTGTGCTCAGGAATTTAGATCCGGCCGTGTAACAGAGGGGTGAACGTTCTGTTTCTGGTTGAACGCCGTCACCGGGCATAACTACACCACCGACGCGAAATCACACCGCGGCGGAGAGACCGTATATCGTCGACTCTTGGTCAGCACGGGAGGGAGGAGGAGGACTGACAGGCACGAGATATACCAACAAAACTTACACTTGATCAAGATGACACCATTATGCAGTTCCTCCATCTCGCGGAGGCGAACGATTCTCCTCGCGTCTCGTGCTCCAGGGTTAAACAACGACGATTTCTCGATCGAGCACAGGCCTCCGTCGTCTTGTTTCGCGTCGTTCGCAACGTGCTCGTGGATACCGTACTTCGGAGCAAACATACGCTCGAGCTGTTCCACGATTCAAACCGGCGTTCACGGGTACACGACACTCCCGCGGCGTGGTCCCGAAGGAGGGGGGAAACAGAAAAACGATCCCGCACAGCGAATTACAAGGCACACGTGGTATCACTGGCCGCGGGCATAATTAATATCGCGGCTCTGTGCACCGATAAGAATGCGTCGTCCTGTCCGCGCGCGACAAAGAAACGCCACCGAGGAGGACCGAGTAAACATGGCCGCGTGCACGTCGAGACTCTCTTGGCTCTCCGTAGCCCGCGGAGCCGTCACGCACTGAGGGAGGTTGCATGGAAACGAAGGGCACGGAGGAGAGGACAGAAACAGAGAGAGAACGGGACGAACGTATACGAGACTACGACGTCCGACTGAACAGAGACCAGCACGGGTACTAAAGAGAGAATGGAACAGAGAGGGTGCTGCAAGCTGCGAACGAGAGAGAAAGTTAGAGAGAGAAGGATAATGGACGTTGAATGTGGAAAACGGACGGGAAAGAGAGAGACGGTTAAGCCGGTTACCGAAAGAGACAAAGGTGGTAAGAGAGACAAAGACAGATGGAATGGCAGAAAATGAAAGAGAAGATCGTGACTGTGGCGTGGTGGCCACGGAAGAAGAGAGAAAACGAGAAGGTAGAGAGGACACGATTGTTGTTCGGTGGGAGAAAGACAGAGACAGATTCAACGTTTTATAGTAGTTCGTCGAAACGGCCGGGTGGCGGCGCCACCTCGAATGGCTAGACACGATTGCCGGAACTTCGACTGCTCCTGAAACGGACCTGGGTAAATCACGATCTTCTGACCTGAGGGGTATTGTTGAACGGAAAAAGCGTGAGGCAGCTGGACCACGGTTGAAAATTGTATGCTTAGGTTTCTGCGTTCTGGGAAGTTGGAAATGTGAAAAATTCTTGGAAACGCTGGGACATTGGAAACGATCACCTTGTACTGATTCTTTGGGAAAAATTTCAAATTGAATTCTGTCCTCTTCTACTATACACAGTAGACGGTTGTTTCTGTGGTGTTCAGTTACACGCGTGGGTGTAGATACATTTATGTCTATCTTTACGGATCAATAGAATGAAATTATCGACTGTATTTCTAGATATTTCCGCGAATCTAAACACGTCAATCTCCTGTCAAAAACGGAACTCGTGATCGAATTGCGCGTGAAGTTATCTGAATGTACGTTCGCGTACAGATCGAACCAAATAAATTTTTTGTTCACGTAGGTTCTCTATATACGAAAAATGTGTATGTAGTTTGTATTACCGTTAAAGTGCGCATAGCACGAAGAAATGCATTATTCGTGACTCGTGACACAAAGAAACCCCGATGTAAGCAATATATTGACACACAAAGAATGCTTAGATAGTTGAAATACGATGCGATTCGGAAGTCGTGTTTATTGCGTGTGCGTGTGGAACGCCTGTCCCCGGAAACCCGGACTGAACGTTTGCTCGCGTGATAAATGCTCCCATAAAGATTCCATAAAACAAAACTATTCCTCGTAAAAACCGATAACACCCGTACCCACGAAATATCATCCAGCAGTGTCAAGACCGAATAACGGTTGGGAAAAAAGAAAAACTTTTCTGCAAAGTCGTTTTCACAGTGGATTCTACGAAACAGTCAGAAGCGAGCCATCTAGCAGGAATAAAAGTTTCAGCCAAGATCGAAATACATACGTAAGTTGACTGAATGGTGTTGCCAAAGGGGCAGATGGCCAAGGCTAGGAGTTAATTGTATTTATGGAAATTCCCTTCGACTTCGATCTTGGCAACACTGTACTCGATGCGTCGCATTACTCCATGATATTCTAACGGTCTATTAAAAGAGACACATGCCGCCTACCAGAATTTACATTCGAAATTCTCACAGAAGGGTTAGAAATGATAGACACAAGACGAAGAAATATTTCATAAGATAGAATGTGACGTATGTGTGTACCTCTGTGTTCCCTGTTAACGATCGATTAAAGGATCGATAACACACTCGGGTACGCATCTCGCATTGGTCGATAAGACAGAGTGCGTATCGGATGGAAGAGTGGCGAGAACGAGTTGGCCGAGCAAGAGGAAAAAGAGCTGTGTTGTGTAGCTCTAATGGGAGATGGCGATGCGGTTTGTTTTCCTTTCTTACTTGGCGTCCAGCCAAAGAACGGCCGGTTATACCGCCTTGTCCCACGGACAGAACGACTCGCGTATATACCGTCTAAGTATCCGCGGTCCCCACCAGAGATCTATGTTTGCAGCTTCCACCACGGCGGTAGCACAGCCTGGCCTGTTCCACGTATATACTCCCCTCTAGTTCCGCGGCGAGTACTGAAACCAGGTCTAGATTTTAGTACGCATCAGAATCCCGACTATGAGAAGCTTTCACACGAGCGATCGCGTCCACGGTAGATTCGTATGGAACGGTCGACATGACGCAGGCTTCACAGCAGACGAAATTTCGATGTGAGTTCTGGCTTGTATGGATAAACAACACACAGAGAGGCTCGGGTGCATCGACAAAAACACGTGTACACGGATTTTTCGATTGTGCTTTACCGACGCGTCGTGTTACGCTTGCTGATCGCTAGACTGTGGATGCAAACGGACATCCATTTTTCAAACGCACCAGAATTAATAGTTAGTTTTTATCGAATTTCTTGTGTCACTTTAAAAATTCAATGAAACACGTTTTCTATTTTTCCATCGAACATGAGAATTCACGAAAGATTTGTATGTATCTTTACTCTCACCAGCATCAGCTGTGAATAATCCAGTGCTGTTCCCGTCGATAAGGTGTGAAGTTGAAATTAGAATTGAAAATTTTTTGTAGTCATTGTTAATGTTTGTTTCGTTGGTTGTGTTGCGTGACGTAAAATACGATATAATTCACAGTCTAATGATCGTACAACTGCTGTAAATGTATCTCATAGATAGGTATTCTATTCGTTCCCGTTTTAATCGTCCCGCGTACACGCATACGTCAGTCAACTGTTACCATTTTGCTACGTAGATCCACTGTGGATACGTAAGTGCGCGAGTCGCGGCCCGTGTCCTCTCTTGCGTCATCATCGCTCTAATGCTCGCTTTGTACCGGCTTGAACTTTGTCATCGTCCTTCGTTTAACACAGATCGTGTTCCGTAATACTTTTGAATTTCAATAGGAACAGTTATTATCGAATTACCGTGATTTTTGTTAAAATATATATATTAACGTCGCATCGAGTGAACCTAAGCGATCATTAACGACGATGATTTCAAGTACTATGCAATGTTACACGCTATTATAGAGCGTTGAATACCGCGACGAAATAGTATTTGTAATATTCAGTGGCGATTACTGCAATTCTCTGTCAGAGCCGCATTCATTTCACGTTTATTACTGTAATTTCGTCGGTGGCATTATTTTTTAAACAAAACAAAATGCAACTAAATCTGTAATCTTACGTTATTTTTCGAGCCCCTTCATAATTGACACTTAATGAAGGGGACACGTTGTATTACACTTTATACTGCACTTTACACTAGTTCTACAAGCGGTAGAAAATTATACATTCTTCTCGCGAGACATAAAATGCAAATTGCATAATAAAATTCTTATTTTTGTTATTTCTGATCTGTTATTAACTGCACGGCATATTTTTGAACAAATAAATGTTATATTTCTCGACGGCAAAATTGCAGTATAACCTGACTGTGTACAAGCGAACGTGTACAAATTTTTTGAAGTATATCGAAATTGGGTCGAACCCAGAGATTTTAGCCCTGCGTGCCATTTTGACAACAAACTGTTTCGCGCTATTCCGGTGTTTTTGTCTGTAATTTGGAGATCGTTCAAAAATCGACCTAATTGAGAACCGCCATATTAGTCACGGAGAGCGCCGTTAATGGAATGCGCGTAGCGTCGTCCCTCCGTGACACACACGTGTTCCCGCGGTATTAAATTGCGCGCGGTTGAAATTGTTATTCCTCCTACTATCTTTACACCGACGGTGACCGGTCTCTTCGGTCCCGGCGGAGACGACGGCATTCCACCGACGAATATAATAAACGTCTAATAGAGGAATGGTAACCGCGGGTACACGTGATTATAATCACGAGAGTCACACACGCAGCCGGGGAAAACACTCTTCGCCCCCCCCCCACCATTTTCTTCCCTTTTTGCCGATGTCCACAGGGACCGAGAATCTCACCTGCCGGTTCATTCAGCTGAGAAAGGAAAACGGAAAGCTCTTCACCGGCCGCAAATATTCCGCCCAGGCAGGTTGGGAGTAAGTATACATCTTGAACGTTTGTTCTCTATGTAATTATGAGCCTGGTACACTGGGAGGGGGGGTGGCTTGGGATGATCTTGAAAAAAGATTTCAGGTATCCCTGCACGCAAACATCTTCTTTTTTATTGTCGAAGAACCATTTTTCCTTGACCGTTGGTTGAAATTCCAGATTTCATTACTAGTTTATTGATATTCACCATTTTCGATTGTAAAATATTACGCGCGGAATCTCGAAGATTCGTCGCTGTGCCAGAACCGTGATCGACTACTGAGGCAATACTGTACTTGAAATTTTCATTCCTATCAGGCTTAATCCAAATATATTTCACGTTCATGTGCACGAATCCGACTGATTTTGAAATTTATTACTCCGAGGGGTAAGCTTTGCGCGAAGAAAAAATCATTTTCCCATTTTTTATTTATCTTTCGCTTCCGCCATCATAGTTGTAACCGTCGTCATATCGCATAATTGCACTCCGGCCAAGGAGATGCTAGGAAGAAAAGGTTATTCGTTTACGGTATTTCTCATCTTTATAGATCTGCGCGGTGTGTACATCAACCAAAAAAACCGCGAACGATCGTTTTTCATGCGTTTTAAATGCCGCCGCGTTGCTTCGTTTCATGTTCCGTCACGTTTTACTTCCTTATTGGGATTTAACCGACGGCAAGAAAGCCGAACATAACCCCCTTTTCTGTCTGCCGCGAAGAAAGCCGCAGCGGCGCGTGAATCCCAAAAAAGGGGGGACTATTTATCGAAGGATCCGCGCGGCGGATGAAACAACCCTGGAACGTCGAAATAAGGGGCAGAGATATTAGAAAAAGAAGACATATTATTGTGTTTTTCCGTAACTCGAATCTGAAATGCGATCGTGCGTCAACACGTCCGCGGTTCCGTTTAACGAGTCCGGAACCGTGACTTCATAAATAGCCTAAATGGTTTCTTTAGAAATATATGCGAAACACATTTGTTGCCGCACCGTTGTGATGGAACGTGACTAAAAATATTAGGCTTATCTCATCGGCGTTGTGCGTGCACCTTATAGACCCTTATGTATAAACAACAAATCTTATATTTCTTGTGGACTACATATTGTCATTCTCAGGAGATAAAAGTATATTTTTTCGGAAAATTTCGAACTTTGAATCCTTTTCACAGAAAAACTACTTTAAATCGTATTCAATCTATAGGTTAGGTTACGCTTTTTATTCTACTACCAATCTTTCGTAACGAACAAGAATGTTTTGTTTGCATTCTTATTGTAAATTAATCCGCGGAAATTGGTGAACTTTGAGTAACCTGTTGCGATACAGCAGGTCTGGCCAGTATATATTTGCTTCACCCGTGAAGCTTCGGATACACAAGATGATCCCGCTGGTGCAATAGTAATGAATTAAAGGGGGACGGAAACGGAAACGTTCAAGGGAATAGCAATAAAGCATCGCCGCATCCGTTATTCAACGACTTTATTCGTCTTCGGTTTGATTCGTTATCGCGCGAGACGCGTACTCTCGTCTGTGATAAGAGCAAAACAATAGGCCGATTTAATTCTCCCCCTGGCGAACAGTGTCCCCAGTGTTCGTTTCTCGGAACGTCGTAACGCGAAAATATTTGCACACGTTTGGGTAGGGTTGTGCGGCAACAAAGCGAGTTCAATATTGTTAACTGGGCAAGTGGAAAGCGTACGTGTCTTGTAATTGCACTCTCCCTACATTATTTGGTTTTAGTTAAACTTCTTGATATCTAGTACAACAAAATTTTGAATAGCCCTTCTACATTCTAATCACAGACTACTTATCTCAGATTACTTGTACACTTGAACAGCTGCATGTTATTTCTCGTTATCGCCTCGGAAATAGTGCGCCACTTGCTGTCAATTGAAGATGCTCAAACGTCTAGAGCTTCCGAAATTCTCCGCCAGGTGGCGATAGGAAAAGAAAAATTTAAATTCGTGTCTTGGGTCTTTTTGATCGACAGGTGGTCCGTGAATAAATAATAATGAATTAATTATTATTCACTTATTGTGCAAAATACTCTTATCTTAAGATTCGGCATCTGATTTTTTTCGCGATTTCATGTTCTTTTCTTCATTTTCGTAGATACATCTTGCAACAAATGCGAGAAGAGTTTCCCACCATAATGGCTAACGTGCACTACAGGGTGCTGAAGAAGAAATGGTCAAACCTGTTGCAGCAATACAAAGTGAGACGAGGCAGATGCCTTTTATTATCCCGCGATTAACCACGGATTGCTCGTTTATCTGCGCGCGCGTTAGTTTGCTTTACCGTCTCCCCGTTTCTGTTCCCTCCTACGTGGAAGGATAATAAACGTACTCCCCCGTTCGAGCTTAGATAAAGTCTCGGGAGGGGCACTGGCCTGAGACGAGAATTACGATGTGATCCGAGGATTCTTCCGAAAGCACGCGTTCTCGCGCCATTTTTGTCGTTCCCTTATAAGACCCGAAAGGAACTAGAGATAGTCAAACCTTACATTTTTCTTTGTAACCGAGTTGATCACTAGACTGTGGATCTCTATGAAAATTCAGATATTTATTAGTTAATTTACTGAACTGAATTTACGTCAGACACTATATTTCCGTTTTTAAAGGTTTTATTGGGGTCCAATGTATAGCTCGTTTTCGTTTCGGATTCGTAAACAATCGGGGTGCACGATATATCTAGACTTTACACGATCACGGTAAACCCGTTCCCGGAAGGGAACAACGTTTCCTGGTCGTGTAACGTATATCGGTGTCCGAAAGATCCATTGGGGGATCCAGGACGGCGACTAGGGGGAGAAGAATCGGTAAACTCGCGGCACGCGAGGAACGCGTCGAATCGCGTGTGCAGATCGACAAACACATACACACACGATCGAGCACGACCGAGTCTCGCCTCTGGCTCTGGTCCTGTTACTATGCATCAGCCACAGCGATCTGCTGTTTGAAGGAACTGCGGAACCCGGTGCACGGGGACAGGAACAACGCGGACGACGTCTCCTGGCCGTTCTACACCGCGATCGACGAGCTACTAGGCGGCGTACACGATCGCGTCACGCCGAACCACGACGAGTACATCGATCCCCACGAATTCCTTTGCGTATCGGTGACACCGGAAGAGCCGACTTCCTCGGTGGACGCGCTTCCGTTGCTCTCCTCCAATCCGGATATCGAGGGTCGTCCGACTACCGATTTCCAGGCTGGAATGAGGATCAGAACGTTTGGGGATGGTGGTTCGGTTCAGATCGAGAGAGTGCCTTCGGACGAGGCCACCAGGTAGGTGGATATGAAAGATTTTTATTGTTGCATCGAAACGATTATTATGGACCTAACACACTTGGTAAGTAGAGGAACATTATGGTCTTATTCGAGTCTCTGAGTCGGTCCAACTGTGAGGTTTAAGTTACTTAATGAACAATGAATCGAATTCGTTTCTGATCTAGTAACAATACGATTGAACTTTCTGTCAGAGGAATTTCGTAAAATTAGAAGAAATTATAGATTTTGACGTACCGTTTCTCGCGAACTAATAGCGAATGTTAATATTCGAAGGAAATCGCAGTCGCGGATCTTTTTTTCCAGGTGAAAAAATTCCAAATGATATGTACGATGATTCTACACGTTTGGATGAAACCAGAGGTACAATCACGTGGATTCTTGTTCACAGGCAACCCGTCAAAAATCACGGTAGAAGAAAACGCGCGGCAAGGAGCGCAGCAGTCGTCCCACGACTACCACGCGCCACGGGGCTGACGATAAAAAAAATCACGTCGGAGGCGGACTGTTCCAACGACTTATCGAGGGTACGAGGAACCGACCAGGCGGTCGATTCCACCAGAGAGAAAGGACGAGCGAGCGAGTCGCGTAACGAGGATGAGGAAAGGCCGAGAAAGTCGAGGCGGACGCAGGCTGCACCGTATCGCGAGGATCACGAGTCATGGACCGATCGTCGTATCGAGCAGATCTTCGAGTACATTAAGCGACGTGACGAGGAGAACAGATCCATCATGATCCGAGTGATGCACGCCGTCGAGAGTATTGCCAATAAATTATGACACTATTAAATACACGTAGATATACATATATACACAGGGTAAGTCAATAAGAATTACTATCTAAAATAACTCATTACCTATCAGTTGTATAAAAAAACGTTTAAATGGATTGTACAGCATTTTACGGGACTGATCGTATGGATGCAATTTAATTTCATTGTACCTTATTTTTTTTTTAGATACCAAGGTGACCTTGAGTTTTTTCAAGGTCAATGCATCCTTCTTTTTTAAATACTATCATGCTATAGGTTGTTGAATTCGTCCTTCTATTGGCAATAACGGGGTATTAGAAAAAGATGCACTGACCTTGACAAAACTGAAGGTCACCTTGATATGTAAAAAAATATCTATTCGAAGCATTCCTTAAAAGGCTACATAATTCATTAAAACGTTTTCTGATACAAACAGTAGGCAACGAGTTATTTGATATAACAGTTCTTATTATTCTATATATACATATACATATGTATATGTAGTGTGTCTCATTTGAAACCTTAGTTTACACGCAAATGTCTCCCGAAAGGTTTAAGTGGGACACCCTGTATATATGTTTGAATGCTTTTTATAAGAACCCCAGAGTAATTATTTTATAAGGCATTCTATCTCTTATCGAGTACAAGCGGTATTACACTTTTCTCTAGAACATACACGCAAGACTTCCCGAAGGGGATCAATAACAATGAACAAAAGTTTTAATGTTCGTCCATTTTCGATTTTATCCAATTTCTCGATTCAATCCATAATTGTCGCGACACAAGAAATGTCTGTAATACGTTTTAATAAATATATATATCGTTTCGAATTCAAGGACAAATCTGAAAATTCAAATATTTCGTAAGGTTCCCATGGACGATGAGCTTCCTATAAATTCCATTAAGCTGCATCCCCATTATGCCGATCGGCAAAACCGATATATTATATCGAATCTTCGACGAATGGGTATGAACAAGCACAAAGTTCATTTTAAACTCGACGACTTCACCTTGAAATTCCCGGGAAAAATCGAAGCATCCGATGGTCACTCACAAAGCCCGGTATTGTTTAAAGCGGCCACGGTTGTCGAGTGCCCTCCGAGTTCAGTCCCGGAGATTAGGGTAGGCCTGGTCTCGTTCGAGAATCTCGATGGGATCCCGGAAACCATATGGCCAAGAAGGACTGCTGCTCTTTTCGGAACATCTGCCCACGATTCCCCCTTACAATTCTTCCGTTTACAATCTCTACGCGCTATCGTCCTGATTTTTTGCGAGAGAGAAGAGCAAAACAAAGATTCCATGCTAAACACCTGACGCCCCACCAACAGATTGCTCGATAACAAATTAAATTAAGTATTAAATTACAAGTAATACTCCAAACAAGAAAACAAACGTCCATTGGAATCCTGATCGCAATAGAATTTAATATTGACTCTACTTCGACAGTTTAAGAATTGTTTAACGTACAAGATACTTCGTAAAGACCGACTGTAGTCTCTCAAAGTATCGAAAGGGTTAAAAAGAATCACGTTGTACCATTGGTCCATGCAACATCACCACTGCATACGAACTATCATAATGTATTTTTATCAGACGCCATTCAAGCGAGATGCGGCTGTAGCGAGAAGTTAGAATGGATGAAAATCAGAAAGAGGGATCACGGCTAACAGGGAGGAGGTACATGTATGTGTGCACGTGGTCTTGCATCTGCTTCTCCACCGAGTGACCCCGCGGTTGACCCTTTCCAAGTACCAATAATTAACTCTGTTCCGTGCGCCAAATGCACACACACATACACACACGTTTGGCTGACGCGCGCGCGCGCGCGCACGGGGCCAAAGGCTTGCGTCATACCGCCCGGCCAGTGTTCTCCCATGAAAGAAAGGGCCGCGCGCGCATACTTGTGCAGTTAACCGCGACACAACGGGCCACGAAGCGGCCGGAGACAAAAGGTGGTCGCCGTCGACGATTCGAACTGTGCACGACCGCCTGCGTTCCCAAGATTGATCGCGATCACACCCATATTCGCATGTATTCCACCTGGTGCCTGAACAACAACATAAAGCCTCTGAAAGTCCGAATATAACATACGACCAATAACTAGTATACTACAATATTAACCGTTTAACTACGGGCGTGTATTCATAAAACTGGCCGTCCGAACATAAACACGAAATAGGTCAATAAGGGATGCTAATGAAAGTAATAAGTAGGCATGTAAACAAGCGAATGTTTGTTTTATAGGAGAAATGTTAATATAAAGGTACGTTTTCACGTGACAGTAAATTGTGACTTTTACAGTCGAGAGACTAAATGTTATAACTTCTGTCGTCGTGAAAACTAGATGTCGCGTTGTCATGATATTGGTTTACACTGTTGTACACTGTCACAACGAAAATTATGACTTTTACTTCTCTTATACAGTATACTGTTTCGTTCAGTTTTCACAAAATACTTGTGCCTAACTTAAGTAGAATCGAGAATGTAAACGTCCATCGGAAATGCTTTCGTGGTCGGTTCTTTTCGAAATTCCGTGTCGGTCTCGCATCAGAGAAGGTGTCGAAGGCATATTCGCATGCTTCGCGAAACGCCCGTGGAAAAGGAGCGGCGCCCTCTCTGTCATCCGTGTATCTACACCCTCGCTCGCTTTGATAGTCTTGGCACGCGAGTCACGGGTCGCGCAACAAGAATCTTTAACGAGGCCACACAATTAATTCCCGGCCACAGCCGCTTTCGCGACCGAGGCCTGTGACCAGCTCCGATTGCACTTTCATTGTCAGGATTTATTGTCCCCCCAGAGAACGATCGTGGAAACAAAATGGTGAATTTATCGTCATACTTCCGATCTATCGTCTACAACAGTGTCTTTCAACCTTTTTTTTTGGATCATGCCCGAACCTCAATACCTCAAACATATCGATGCCATGATAATAAACGATATTCTCAAAAAATTTAACATTAATAGCTGCTTCGAATAGGCACATGGCATCGATGGGGCGTACGCCACACGTTGGGAGACACTGATCTACAACGATCGCTCCGTGTCCCTCTCTACCCACGAACGAAATTTCTTTAAACGTCTCCTTTTTCTTTCGTTCTGTGGTCTCGTAAGATTTCTGACTCGATGCGGCTAGGAAATTCGCGAATCAGAACCGCAATAGAAATTCCACGAGACGGATGATGATTCATGAGTGACTCACCAGTCTTGTTACTATTGCCGCCGAAAGAATGCAGTTTTTTCCAGCCTTTCCAGCCCTTCTTCCAGATCATGGCGGCCTTCGTTTTACGCTGACCGCCGCCGCCTGCCAATTCAGGGGTACTGGTTTTGCAGATTCCTCGCCTCAAGGACCCCAGACCCGACCTAAGCGAATAAACAGAATAACGTTATCTTTCGAATCTCTTTCTTTCTCGATTTATGGTCGTGCAATGGCTGCGCTGAATCGTTAAACGGGACAGTATATACCGAGTGAATTCAGGGTGGAGCATTTACTTCTGAACCTCCGAATATCTTATTTCAATTAGAATACAACAATAGGAGACGAGGGGCGAGTAGTATAAAAATTATAACTAGAGTTACTGTTATTCTCAACCTGTAACTTGCACTGGAGCTTCCACTGAAGCCACTGTCCATGTCACAGCCAACAGGCGAAAGGAGCTCGTCGGTGGGACTGACCGAAGATAAAAGCTCCTCAGTGGAGGCCCCGTGTTGGTCGTGCATCTCGTCCTCGTCGTTGTTATCGGCCACGGTCGGCATCAGCATCGCCTCCACGCTCAGGTTCAATTCCCCGAGCACCCGACGGTGACGTGACTGGACACGTCGTACCTCCTCCGCCACCAGGGACCTCCTCGAGCCGTGCAACGCTCGGTGACATTGTCTGCTAATGAATTGAAACGATTAATAGACGTGCGCGCATTATCCATGAGATTGATTTATACGTGGTAACGAATATAGAAACCACCTTTGGAACCCATACAAGTGCTGCCCCCCCCCCCCCCCCCCGCCAGTGAAACGATACCCTTCTTGCATACCGGGTGAAAAGAATTGTCATTCGTCAGGTAAATAAGTATTGGTAGTGAAAATGGAAATGAAATGGAATGATTGTTTTGTACAGAAAATTGTAATATAAGTGTAATGCGGTAGGAAGATAAAACTTTGGATAGATTAAATGGTCCTAACGAAACCTCATCCGACTAAAATCTTGTTGGGACTGCTCTCGAGCACTTAACGAGACCTCTCTTATACAGTATGAAGAAATATATCTTTTAATTTTTACTAAAATTTCAATTTTCATATAGCAAAAGATAATTTATTCTTTCACATGACGAGTATACTCGTCACTACCCAGAAAGTGGTAATTTCGTCATGACGAGTATACTCGTCGAACACCGTTAAAGGGTTAAACAGCAGCTGATCGAGAATCGTCGTGGATGAAATTACTTCGGGAAAAAAAATACAGTTATGACAACCGAGGGCGAATGTATCAGGGAGCTAGCAAAAAAATTTCTGAAAAATCGTCTTCAATGTTTCAAAGAGCGTTGAAATAGCTCCCGTTGGATCAAGGCCGCGGTACCCTATTCATGGCCGCCATTTAAGAGCAGTGCAACGAGACCACCTCTGTGTCCCCGGCCCCGTAAGAAGGGTCGCATAATAATTTACCAGTGAATCGGGCCAATTTCAATGGGTATTTATCTTGTCCCGATGAATGACTTTAGGTACCCGGCCGCGTACAATCTATGATCGTTGTTTTCTTGTTGTTCGCGGGCCTTAATCACTGTCCCTGGGCATCCGGTGCGTCGGGAGACGCGTCGAAACGGTCCGAGTGGCCGGTTGCGGAGGGTTTGTTGTCCACTTGAAACGACCATTCACTCGCGTCACAGCGAAGCTCACTTCGCGTCCGGCGACGGAACCGCCGCGTATTCATCAACCGTTTAGACCGAATGGGAACCGTAATTCTGCACCGCTATCGACCGCTAAGAAGCCCCGCGTGTAGCAGTGACTCCCTTAGAAACTAACACCGATCGATGGGAGGAAGTGGGACTTAGAATTCGATCCAAGTCGCGACGAACTGGTACGATTCGGAGGATCGACTCTGAATATCCGGAGAATCACCCTTCATTTTCTATGCGTTCTCACGTGTTACTGTTTTTATACGTTGATAATCGATGAATGTAAATTACGAAGTAGTTAGTTGTAGATCACCGTCCCCTCCCTCAACTTTTGTAAATAAGAAATAAATTCGTGAATACGATTCATATTTTACGACCTGATATTTTCGAAAGAACAATGTTTGTTAACCGCTAGCGTACTTCCGTCGTTATCTTACTTGATCTCCGAGATCTCCTCGTAAATGTTCTCCTCGGTTCCGTATCGGGTCATGTACGTGTGCCTCTTGAACGGTTCCGGGCGCAGCGGTTGCTGCTGCGGCGACGGCTGCACACGGCTCAGGCCCACTTCCGGCGGATACGTGCCGTGCAGTCGGCTTGGCCCCGGCTCGTAGTAAGCGTACGAGTAATCCTGAAGGGGATGCTGGTGAGAAGGGCTGCTCATGGCCGACGGGACCGACGCAGGGTCCACCAACCCCGTGCAAGGCATCTGAGAAAAAAAAACGAAGACCCTGCATTAATAATAAAAACCTAAACGAAATAGTTTGTTAATCCGTGGAATGTACATTATGTACCTGACTGTGAGGCGGTGGATACGGCGGAGGCGGTGGAAACTCCAGGTTGATTCTTCGCGGGGTCGGAACACCTGACGCCATTCCTGGTCCCCCTAAAGACGAGGCCATGACGCATCGTTCTTTGGCTAATCGACGATACGCTTCTTTCTCATCGTTCCCACCAGTTTTCTATAAACATCGTAATCGATTCGCGATTACTATTAGACACAAGGAACAATTTTTCCGCCATTGTTTAAGATCCAAAATTTAAGTTCTTAACCCTTCACTTGTAATGTGAATTTTAATTTGAATTTTTTGCTAGTCTCAAACAGGTAAAAAAAACATGTTGGTTCACGTTAAGCTCACGAAGAACCACAAACAGGAGAACAATTCTGTAAACCTGTAATACCATAAATTCAATGGGAAAAGGTTCCGATCGAGGTCGGGGCGCTGTTCATCTTTTCAAAGAAATTCACCGACGCATGTAGCCGGGCGTGTCGAGCTTTGATCTCCGTGCACGATCTACACGGATTTTTAACGGGTGGGGAGGGAAGGTATCATTAGGCTCTCGCGACCAGAACCGATGTGTCTCCGTCAAAGAATTTATCACTTACCGCGAATAAAAGGAGTCGGATCAGGACACGCGATACGTGGGTACGTCGGGGACTCTCTCAGAGACCAGAAGACCGTAACGAAAGTTAACGCCCTACCTACACACATAACCTCTCTCATTCGTTAACGAATACAGAATTCAAAAACTTGTTCAGAATCATGTCCCCGACAACATATCTAAAAAAAATCATTGAAATCGTCGTAGGTTGCTACATCAAATAAGCTCAAAATTCCCTTATATAATTTTTCCCACCATCGGATCCGCCTCTTGAAACCATTTAAATTACGTAAAGAATATTTCTCGTATGATCACAGATAGAGAAGATATTTAAATGGCCTGTTTTAATTCCTTGTATAGCTCCATTTTTAAAAAATTACTAAAAAAAATAACATATAATGAGATGCATATGTTGAACTTTTACTAAACAATAATTCTGCATATACAAAAAAATTGTTCGCTTTTCCCTCTTATTTAACAGCTCAAAGGTATGTAACCCCTTAAAGAAGGAAGGCTGGATAGAGTCTGGCTGCGTAAACGCGAGATAGGAATCAGGCTCGGTGTCCAAGGGAGGGGGGAGGGCAAAGAATGCGCGCAGGTGTGGGACGACATCGCCCGATTCAGATTCAAAACGCGGCGCATATAATTCGCGAACGCCATATACGCTCAACGACGTGTAATAACCTGCGTCGGGTGTGAGATCCACGGCTAACAAGATAAACGTCGTGTTATTTCGCGACGGCCGCATTTACGTTCACTCGCGTGTCACGACAACGACGGCATCGACGGCGACGACAACAATGCGCGTTACAGACCGTCACGACTGCGTGGCCAAAAACGGCGACACAACATTCCGCGAGTCGAGTTGCATCGGTTCGAAAACTTCTGACGCGGGAACTTTGAAAAGTCACGGACCTACCAGCGATCCTGAAAGCAAACGGATGGTGAGATATGTGCAACAGCAAATCGTGGTGAAGAGATCTTGTTGCGGGTCAGAATTGACCCAGCGACCAGTATCCATTACATTCAAGAGTGGAAAAAGTTAATATAAAAAAGTTAGAATAAAACTAGGAAGATCGAATAACCTTTAACACGTTGGCTGTCGGAGCTGATTTTACTTTCCTTTCTAAAAACAAAGAGTACATCTTCATTACTCTCTTCTTCGACGAAATTAAAGGAAATTCTAAAATCCTATGGTACTAGTGAAAAACAAATATTCCATATGTGCCATGTAACCGTGGAAATAACTTATTTTATATTGTAATTTTCGAATCGACAAAATACTAGGAAAAAATTGCGCAACACGGTGTGTCACGTGGTCCTAACAGGGTGTGACCCGCTGGCGGGTCACGCGGCAGTCGAAGTGCTAAATGGAGTCATTCACTTCAGGGTCTCACGATCAATTCCCTAGATATCGTCGCTCGTAGAAAAGTGAAGCAGGCTAATCCGACGATAAATTGAACAGGGTCGTCAATGACGTGATATTGACCCGACGTATTGTGTAAAAACGTTCGAGAACCGTAACGAGGCCGTCCTCTCCGCGGAAACGGACTTCAAGTTCATTCTGTGTAGGTGGCGCGCATGGGAATGCAGCCTGGTCAGACAGACAAGCGAGGGGCACCGGGAATTGGATGATAAACGACCGGTGTCTATCTTCACCTGCCCACGTAACGTTAATGCAGTCAATTACAGACCAAAGTGATTCGGCCGTGGTCATAATTCCTTTCCGATCAAGCACGCCGATCGAAATTACCGATATCTCGAGCGGGCGATTACGCGCGTGCGCGGCGCATGGGAACGAGGGAACGCGGAACTGATGTGCGTGTGTGTGTGTGTGTGGTTCCAGGCTGAAATTGGCAAGAGGTCTTTGGTTTCTTGCGACCTTAACCTATCCCCTCGGTAACGACCTTCGTTCAAAGATGTTTCGAAACACGTGAGCATAAATTTAAATAACGAACGAAAACTCGTATAAACGTTAGACCCGTTTCACTTCATTCCGGATTTAACTCTTAACTCTTTCGATGTTATGTCGAGTATACTTGTTATGAAAAGTTGGTATTTTTTTCGTTTAATAACGAGTATACTGAAGGATAAACAATTTGCGTTTGTTATTTAAAGTAAAGTTTAGTAATTTTAACACATTTTAGAATATTCTTGGACAAAAAAAAAGGAAACGTACAAAGAAAAATAATAACTTGAAAAAGAGAAGAAATATGCAGCAGTATTTGCACGAGGGCTGTTTGATAAGGCAGCTTAAAAATAAATAAACTAGTGCACGTTTTCAAAATGAAATAAAACACTTAAAGGGTTAAGGTGAATTTTCATTAGTTTTGTACAGCGTGAGTTTTTGTAGTCCATAACAGAAAATGTATTAACTAATTATGTTAGTAATGGCCAATCATTATTTAATACATTACAATGTCATTGGTCCAGGAAAGTATATGTGAAGTTTTTTTCTGGTATGGTACACTGACGTAATCCGCCCGTAATAAACCTCTTTCCCGCACGTCACTTTTCCCTTCTCTGTTCTCTCAAGCCTCCTTCATATTCGCGTACGGTGGTTGCAATATATACGTACTCGAAGATTGAGCAACAGGAGGGAAAAAAAAAACAGTTCAGATGGTCGAACGTTCCCATCGGAACCTAGTCCTTAAAAGAATTAACACGGCCGATTGGACGTGTAACGAAGCGTAAACCGATCAATGTCTCCAATATAACCTAAATCATCGTGAATTCATACCAACAGGGTATACATATATACAAAAGTTGTTTGTATACTACTCAAATTCTTTACGAGGCGTAAATCGACCAGTGTCTCGAACATAACCTAAATATTCCTGAATTCATACCAACAAGGTATATATGTTGTTAGAAATATATTTTCGATAATAAAGAAAATTAATTTTATACTATTCAAATACTTTACGAACCCTAAACCGATCAATGTCTCCTACATACGTTTTCGATAATAAACGAAATGACTGTCATAATATTCAAATTCTGTACTCGAACGTTCTAATGGCTTCGACTAATTAAACAAATTTTGTAGAAATTTTTTTAAAATTTCGACCAACGTAGTGGATCTGCTTGTTGCGTCAGACAAATACGAACATTTTTACCATCGTTCATCTTGATAATGGGGAAAAAAATGATATCATAAAGGACATACGTATGTTGCTTAACTCTGTTGCGTTGATATAATTTCACGGAGGAATTCGTCGCTTCCGTCTCGCGTTGATGAACAATTTACTTGAATTACGTAGTCTACAGCGGTCACTCGCGACATTTCACCATTCCACGATTATACATTCGCATGGTTCGGAGATTCCGAAGTTCCTGCCTCCGCGGGGAACCCGTTTACTGGTGATCTTCAACGATCGAATCTGAATTCGTAAATATTTGCGACGTTAACGTCCACACGATTTGTATTCACCCCGGGGCTCCGATGATATCCGAGACTCGAGTATCAACAATTTCATTCAATATTCCGTGGTTCCCCAGCTGCCGTTAGTTTACACGTGGTGTTTACACTCTGGTGCTGCGAGGGAAAACCGAAGAATAGAAGGGGCTATTTAAACGAGACCTTCGCGTGGATACGTTTATCGTTCTTGATAGCTCAAGGAATCACTTGTACTTCGAGAACTTCGTAGAACATACACGAACGTTTAAAATAAATAATTTTTTTTCTTTGACCTCACATACTGATGATCTCCTATATTCTCTTTTGTTTACACAATAGTTTCCGTATGAGGGTGGATGTACCAGTAAATGAACGTGTACCTACCAGTGAATGAACATTATATATAAAAACATATCCAAAATTGGAAATGAATTTATATATAAATTCATATCCAAATAATTTTCGCACCATTGGATAGAAATGTTCGTTTACTGGTTAATGTTCATTCCTGGTAAAATCCGTAATTTGTCTTTTTAATTTACTCACTAATTACACTTGTCCAAGTTTTCACATTGAAATCTATACGTCATCAATATTATTATCATTTAAAATTCGATTTTAATAACGACATTCCTTTTAAGTGTTTATTCATTCATGAGTTTACCCTATATAATATTAGGATACATCATATTCGTATTAATTACCACAATAGTTGCGTCACATCACTTTTAGTCATATTTGATAACGTCCACATGGATCACTGTTTACCCAGTTAAGAGGTTAATGAAGGTTCGAGATTGTTTTCGGGCGGGAAAACATGTTAACGTTCGAGCAGTACAAATCGGTCGTGCGAATATAAACGGAACATATAAATTCAAAACAACTCCATAGAAAAACAACATTTCCAAGTTCAATCAAGATTCTCGACAAAAGACAGGCGAATTTCAATGAATTTAATTTTCCACTGTTCCTTGTTGTTCTTTTAACCAATATAATACCTTCAGAACCATGTCAATATCACTAGAGACAGACTACAAAGGCAGTCCCCGTCACTCACCCGCGATCAAAAACAACGTTCTTCGAACTGAAATATCGTTTCCGGTATGTCCTGTCTCGAGAGCCACGAATATACACATATTTTCGACGGACGCCGGATATTTTTGGCCTGGGTCCAGCCAAGCAACCGCCGAAACGATAGGATGGAAGGGCCCCTCGATGTTGTTGATTTCCCTCCGTGTGCACCACGCGACACGCAACCAAAATACTTCGAGAACCACGGTAACGACTTCCACAAGAGTACAGGAAAATCAACACACGCGCCTCCTCTAATCCTACTGTCACGAAGGGGGTGGGGGAGCCACTTACGCTTTTACGTCGGCTTTACGGTTAGCTTTTATTCCGTTTCATCCCGATTCAAGCGGAAAGAGGATCCCAAAGTCAAGTCCGAAGAAGCGTATCCAATTTGGTAGGATTCACTTTCAAAGCGCGTGCCCCACGGCGCGCTCAATTATTCGCCTCTATTCGACCAATTATTCTGCTGGATTATTTTGAGAACCGTGGAGACGGGAGAGAGAAAAAAAAAACACTCGACGATTACGAGGTCTTGTCCGTTGCCGTCGCGTATCGATCTCTCTCTGGAGACGGTTAACCGTGGTTCGTACCCAGTAACTTTTCTCACGATCTATCTTGCACACGAGGGCGCAATAGGTATTTCGAAATGGGAACGCAATACCTATTGGCTTCGGTGATTATGGAATCAAAGCCGGCGCGCACGAAGAAACGAGACTGCACACGACGTATTAAGAAATAATTTCAATCGACACGAAATTTCTCTCTCTCTCGTCCTGTCTCTCAGGAATGGCTTGTGCGTCGGAGAATTTATCGCCGCACGCAATTAGCCTCCAACGGAAAAACTGTTCAGATAACCCAACCGTATTGCGTCGAGTACCGGGGAGAAGTCCATCGTTCCGGTCGTTCCTCGAATCGCTCGTTTGAAAAGTTAATTGAAACTGTCGGTTCGCTTAACCCTAGGCCTGGAAAGGAGTCCGTCGAGCCCACCGGTTAAAGAATATTATACATACGATGTACAGTTACACCATTCTTGTACGTGTAGTGCAACGAAAAACAATTTATCGCTACTTAAAATTGATCCATAAAAATCAACTTTAGTTTTGTTTTAATGGAGACGTTGGTAAGACGAAGGAAAACAACAGGGAACAGTACTAGACTGCGGAAGTTTATGCAAATACAGATGTTTTTGAAGTAATTTATGGAAACTGAAGAGTAAAATAGATCCATATTTATCTTATTAAGGATTCTACTAGGTTCCAAACAATATGAAAACTTGATCGCGACTTATTAAACTTGTTAATCCACTAAGTTGTAAATAGTCGTGTGTGTAATAAATGCTTAAAATCCGTAGTCTAATAATTACATATGTTCAAAACCATTGATAGTAACTGACTCTTCAAATATATGTCTCTGACCAACGTTTCCGGAACAGAAATATTTAAAGAACAGGTGGACTCAACGAGGCCTCCCTTTGGTTTTCGAGACACAAGAACAGTAATATACCCAGGTTTTCTCAGGTTTAATAAATGCCCTCACCCCCGTATAATTTCCAAGACAGACCCTACGAATAAGCGCGTTAATAACATTTACAGGTACACTTACCACGAAGCAGCGGGTGTACTTTAAAGACACGATCCTCTCTGGTTAATTCGCTGGCCGTTATGAATCCATTCGAAATCGGTGGGGGGGGGGGGAAGGTCGAGCAAGCGTATATATTCACGGTGTAAACACTTTGGGGAACGGGCCCACACACAGGCAGAAAACATAGAGAACCACCATTCGTTCGCGCCTCGTGCTTAGATAGTTTTGCGTTCGTTCATTGTTGAATGTGGCCAAGCACGCCCCCTTTGAGAGACCGGTCGACCGAGGAACGGGGCAAAGAAAGAGAGAGCGAGACAGAGAAAAAGAAACGGAGAAAGAGAAGCGGGCGAGGAGAAAGAGAGTGGATCGGCGACCGAAGAAAGGGACAGGACGATCGAAGGGAATGCAAGATGAAAGGAGCGAGAGTGACCGCGAAGGATACAGGCAGGAGAGGAAAGCGCGTCTCGTAGCACCACACGGATTTCTTAAAACCACAGGACACGACACTTTCCCGGTGTATAACACCTTGATCCCCGTTTGATTCACTTATATATACACGCGGCTTCGATGATCACACTTGGAGACGAAATCTCCTCCCCCCATGTTGATACACGGGAACACCGACCACCAGTGACAAGTACAACTCGACGACTGATTGCGATACGCCGCGTCCCACGGGTTCGTCCTCGAGTGAACGAGGATCGACGAACTATATCGATTTCACACGAAAATCGACTCACGTACCCCCGGTCGGTAAACACTCGAATTGAATTTTGGCGTGCACTTTGTGTCGCTCACCTGCGCCCACTTGGGCGATCCAGTATCGATCCTCGGGGATATTTTCACGGCGTGGATCGAAACACTTTTTCCCTACGATCACACACACATACACCGGTGGTAACAGAGATTGAGGCGCGACGAAAAACACGGGGGAAAATCCGCGCAAAGTCTATGCACAAGTATCCGATGAATATATGTATATATAGAAGAGGCGCCAAGTCCCGCGGAATCCTGTCGTTTCACGGTTCTATCCCTCGTTTTTTCCAATCGAATACACAAAGCAGCCCGGTTGCCTCCTTGATCGCGGTCCCGGCCTCTACTGAGAAACAAGTACGCCAGGGGGCAGTCACGAGCACCAAGCGGTTCTCTCTCGAGGAGAGAGAGCCCGGGAGCCTGAAAACCGTCTTCAGAAATCCCCCGGTGCTGTTCCTTCGTGCACACGCTGCTGCTGCTTTTAGTGGGATATGTATGTATATGTATACGGTGGACGGGAAACGAACGAGCAAGCCCAAGCGTGTACCGATCCGCCCGCTCCGCTCGCTACTCGCCTCCGAGACGACGTTCCATTGTTTCGTTGTCTCCTGGCTCGGGAGCGTGGCACACACACATGCACGTAGCACAGTTCACAGTCAGAGAGACGCGGTAGCGCACGTGCACGCCCGCGACCACACACACACACAGTTAGTCCTATGTAATATACGTACGAGCAGGTAGGGAGCACGCATACACCAGAGCACTGGCGGAGGGGGACAGGCACTCTCCGCTATACCGACCGCTCGACCAGTCACGCACGATCTCTCGTTCGTGTATGAATGTGTAGTACGGTTACCACCGGACCCGACCCATCACGAACACACAGATAGAGAGAGAGAGAGAGAGAGAGAGAAGCTTGGGTAGGCGCGAGCGAGTGAGTGCGCGCACACTCTCTCTACACCCAGCAAGTCCGGAGTTGTTCTTCACCAACGAAAAGCCTCATCACAGGGCTTTCGAGTACCGATGGGAAATTTATTGTATTACCCCGGTCTTACCGCTTCGTTGTCTCGTTTCTTCGTCGACCTTGCCAGTCATTTCGGGCAATTTCACCGTCGTTGGGACGGTATTTACTATTAGCCGTTCGACACCACTCGTGACCCCCGATGAGAGGCTGAAAGTGGCGAGAGAGAGAGATGGAGGGGTTGGGATCGAGGCGCTTTGAGGGGAAAGAGCAGGATGGAGCTCAAAGGGAACTCAAGTGGGTGGAGTAGTGGGGGTAAGAGCTGGGAGCTAGTGGAACGACGTTGGAAGGGGAAGACGATATCGAGCAACCGAACTTGACCCTCGGCGTGGATCTGCATTTTCGTCGGTTTGCTTAGCCGCTAGAAAATCTTCGGTCTTTTTTTTCTTCTTTTTTTTTAATGGATCGCGAAAGTGATCGGTCAGCCGCCGAGGAAAACGTACTACTTGTAGAAAAAATACTGGTCTGTAATTTCATACTGGAAGTTTTTTTTTTCCGTGAGGCGGGACCATCGGTTGTCCTTTTTCTTCAGCGATACTGGACATCGGTGTGCAGTTTGGTTAGAGGAGAGTTCTTACGTTACACTCGAATTGCCTTTCTGTAATAATAAGATAAACGCACGATTTTTAATGAAACTTAATAATATTTATATATTACTGTCAACATTTAATACAAGAACGAAATTTCCATCTCATTTTCATGTTCGTAAATTAAACTCTAAAATTCTGGAATTGCATAAACATCCACAGTCTAGTTCTTTCATTTACGTGTCGAAAGCTGCATCGATGTTTCTCCTCGTGTCGACACGTCCCGTGAAAAACCGATACTTTTCAATCGATATGCCATTAGTTGCGCAACACCGAGAGTAATTACACCGTTGAAGACCTAAGATGGAGCAGCTGTACAAAGAAACAAAGAGGGGACATTTGAAAAGACCAACCGCGAACCGACGGGGGAACGTTTGAAATTCCTGTCTTGAAGTTAATACCAACGCCTATCCACGTACCTTTATTTTTATTGTAGCGAAAGGAATGTCGGCCGAGTGCTCCGTTATGAGCTTCTAGATGCGTTGAATGCGCGTCAAGGAATTCGTTCTTGCCTAGAACCATGAACTACATATAGATCACTTTTTACCCCCAGACACACGACGGTGCCTGTTTAACCGTACAAATCTTCAGCGTAACTGTGGATAATTATACTTGCAAATAAATCATGGGAAAATTATTTTATTCATCACCGAAGTACTAGTATGTACAAGTACAAGTACTTTACTCAATAGAAAAAATTGTAGTTCACGGAAGTTACCACCAGAGTGACGTGGCTATTTGTTATACAGTTAAAATGTTTCTGTTTTAATTTTTTATAATGTTAACATTAGAATAAATCAACGAAATCCGTTTGTCTTAACGGGAAATTAATTATCTAAATGAATAGACTGTAAAACAGGAGAAACATTTATTGGAAAGTTCTGGAATTGTTCGACTTGTGTGGCTCGGAATTTTTAACCAGAGCAGAAAGCACAATTCGTTCACCTCGGTAAATTTGGTGCTGATGGCAGTTCTTTGAATGCGAGTTTACTGTCACAATACATATACATAATTCCTTTGCCGAGGTGGCTGAGTGGCGGTCACGTGTTTTAGAAACACGTGCGTGAAAGGGGCCCTCGATGCACAACTGACGGACGACCCCACGAAAACAGCCATGATAAACGTAACCCGAAACGGAACTGATAACGACTCCTCTCGTGTTTAGTGGGTACGTGGAGGGAAGGGGGGGGGGCTACAGAAGGACTCAAAGCGGTCGTGTACGTATTCGTTTCTTCCATTAGCTCCCTTTCCTCTGCTCGATTCTTTCGAGTGTAATTCTTCTTTTGCAACTGAACATAAAATGATTAATGACACAGAACTTTTATGAAATGAAGAACTTAAATTAATGGGTCTATGGAGACTTTCGTGGCAACGTAATATTTTACCTTGGTTAAGCTTCCTTTTGGAGGACCGAAAATTTTTGATCCATTTTTGTGGGGCAAAGTGATTTGAAACTTTAGCCGTATATAATAAAGTTTAGCCGTTACTTTAAGAAAAGAACGCGAAGTCTCAGGAAATTCAAATTCGACGTGATTACTTGGAAAAATTAGTGTAGGTCTTACGAAACATTTTCTTTTCAAATTTGTTGTTTTCTCGGACCTGCTCACATTTTCTATTCCCCATTTACATAAGCGAGGAGAATCTACGAGATTATCAGGGGGCGGTAACGTATCCGTTGCTATTCTCGTCTTTTCATGAAGAGATTTCTTTGTGCTCTCATTCTCTTGGAACATTGATAACGCTGAAACGCTGTGTTTATCTATACTTTTCCCGTTCTATCTGTTTATAAATTAGACCCGTGGGCTTTGTATCGTGTAATAGTCGCGGGAATAGTGCAAGCGTACCGCCGTAGCCTTAACGGTCAACAATATTCCGTTTACAAATGACGATTTGACTCTCGGTTTATGCGATAACGCGAATAAATATTGTCATTTATCGTTCGGTTCGTGATCTTCCATGATCGAACAGTGTGATTACAGAAAGTCAAACTGTCCAACAGTCGAATTAATCTCGCACTTTCAGTGTTCAGCGTGCTTTCGTAGCGTCAACAGTGACACGGATTCTCAAATCAAGGGCATTTATTAACAGTTGGGATTTTGAACGATCATACAGGTACGGTTAGTTAATTAGTTAAATTAAAATTATGAGATTTCTCTATCGGATGACAATTTAAATACTTCATTTAATCGTTAAAAGCTTCACCATTTTCTTTTCGTGAAAACTGTTTCCATTTATGGCAATTCGTGATTTATACAGGGTGTCTTATTTAAGTGTTATCCCCCAATATTTGTTTTAATTGTGAAAAGCAAAAAATATTTCATACGTAATTGGAATGGAATTAGCTGATGAATATCCTGTTGGCGTTGTTTTTTTTTTCAACTAACTACGTACTTTTTTCTATTGCATCGCGTAGCGCATGAAAAAATACATTTAGACATGTATTATGACATGATCTTCAAATGACCTGTAGGTATTTGAAAAAAAATGTCGATGACCTTGAAACCTTCGAGAAGAAATCATTTGAAAGAAAATAACGCCAGCAGAATATGAAAATATTTTTTGCGTTTTCACAATTAACAGAGATATTCTGGTGGTCACACTTAAATGAAACACCCTGTATTAATATTTGATATTATACATGACATTGTGTTCAACCTTTAGATCGTCGTTCTCGCGATACTCGGGAGGGGGACGCAAAAAAACGATCGAGCGATGAATCGCGAGTGGAACCAGTTGGCGGTGCACAAGACACCACCGAGCGAACTCCTGGCTAAACTCCGGTTACCGGTAAAAACGTTAACGGGCCCCGGGCCGACTAATTGCTCAAAGCGGGTTCTTCAGGCCCTGCAGAATCAAGTCCTTGGGAATCTCCATGCCGAAATTTGTCAGGTAATCGGTTCGTTTCAATCTCCGGCACGACAAGTCGCGTATCAGGTTCAAAGTTGCCTGATTATAATCATCACCGACAATGTAAGCCCTTGCCCCTGAGGGAAAGATTAAGGCGCACTCATAATAACCGTTCGCAAATTGTATACCTATCGTACCACGCGTACAACGGTATTACATGTACTTGAATCGCTGAATTTCCGTCCGTTACGTAAACTTGAGGCATGCTTGCCGATATCCCATCGGAATTAAGGATTTTGCCCTCTCTGGCCGTCGTGTACATTTTTATTACAGCGAAGGCAGTTTAACCGGGAACGTGACAGTGTCGCAATTAGAATCAGCCTTTAACTCCGTGAAAGATCATCAGCAACTTTTAAATCAATTATTGTACATAAATAATATTTACTGTCAACCTGATTCGCATTGATTGTATGAATGGAGACTTCGAATAAGGGTCTATAAGCACATTTAATAATTAGTACATAGTGAAGTATAGTTCCACAGCCTCTGTCGATCGCTTTAGTACACACAGGTTGCAGATATTCCGTCAGATGGCGACGTAATGTAATTGAACGCAAGACGCATCCACTTGTTGCGTATCCCCGTTGTGTATGGTTGTGTATCGTATGGTGGTACGACACGACACAAAATGTGCTGAATGTGCTTTAAAGTTTTTGAGCCTTGTTTGTGCTTTAAAGTTAATACCACCTTATTTGAGGTTTAAATTCTATTAATTCGAATTTTGGCGTTAATAGTTACTAGACCACCGAATGTTTATGCGTATTCACATTCCTAAAGAAGAGGTTTGCAGGTTTATTACGTTTTCAGTTACTCGACGAAATTAAGGCGGGACTTCAATATGTGTTTCAAACGAAGAACAGACTTACTTTGGCGATAAGTGCGTCCGGTCACAGTGGTATGGAGGCATGCTTGGGAAATTTACTTGAACCCGGTGAAACAGTAGTGATCGTGAAATGTGGAATTTGGGGCGAACGAGCCAACGACATTGCTCATCGAATTGGTGCATGTGTACGTACTATTCTGTAAGTCAAGTAAAATTGTGGTTTTTCGTACAGTGATGCTTGTTTCTTTTTATTTACAAAAGGAAGTTTAAAAATCTTACAAAATGAGGCCTATCATGTACCACCCCTTAATACAGACTCAATTTTCATTTCAATATGAAAACACAGGTCGAGTTGATCGAAACGGACCACGACCAGGCAGTCACATTGGAACAATTAGAAACCTCCTTAAAGTTGCATCGACCGGTAGCAGTTTTCATCGTGCACGCTGAATCTTCCACAGGCTTGAAGCAACCATTGGAAGGAATTGGAGACCTCGTGCACAAGTATATAATAATTACTCGCGAAATACTCGTAAAAGACAGTTATTCAACGAAACAATCAAATAAAAAGTCACCGCGGTGTAATTCACAAAATGATGGAATACTTCCGAAACAAATAATTTTGGAATAAGTGTTCTTTTCGCTTAAACTGTCTCTACCAACACAAAATCAGTATTTTCCGTTGAAAATAAACATAAACACAACATACACACACAGACCATAACCCCCACTCAGTGGATATTAGCCTAAATGCTACAACAGTCCTGTCAGAAATTGCTTTATTTTTGTTGTTTTCGAATACTGTTGGCAGTTTCGACCCCAAGACTCGCCCAAGTATCACGTCACAACCAAAACATTCTTCTTTCCAGATACAATGCTCTCCTGATCGTCGACACGGTTGCGTCACTGGGCGGCGAGCCGTTCTTTATGGATTCCTGGGGCGTCGATGCAACGTTCAGCTGCAGCCAGAAGGCCCTCGGTGCCCCCTCTGGACTCTCCCCAGTTTCTTTCAGTCCACGGGCCGAGTACGTAATAATCCCGCCCGGATCGTGCTTTGTTTTCTATCTTTTTTTTCGACCGCGACTCAGCCGCCCAAATGGAAATACATAAAAATCGGAGGTCTCTTAAAGCCACTATCTACACGGAATATCAATCGAATTTGTGAGGTCATCCCGGTCACACGTCGGACTGTTAGTTGTTCGGTGAATCATAAAGTGAATGGCTGATGAATTCTTATTCGATGACACTCGGGGGGGCATCCTTTGAATTAAGTACATATACATATACCTACCGTCTTCCGAATGTCTCGTGCCAACCGATCGGATACCCCATTAAACCGTCCATTTCCACGGCAGAGTATTCATGGGCGTCAATTTGTCAGCATCGAGACTTTTTGTTATGGTCGACGGTATTATTATGGGAACCGGTATGCAGTGTTTATTTTCGTGTCGCGTGGTTATTCTAGATTGGGTCTTTTTTTGTACGTGTGTGCTATCATTGGCTTCGTATCATTACCTTTCCCGTTATTACTATTAATTCCTTAGTATTAATGTTCGCCGCGCCTAGTCATTACCAGGCTGTTATTTCCGGTCGATTCCGTCTACTCACATAACGTCTAGATAATTACAAAGGTGTTTGGCTCGTAACAGTCCTCACGGATTTCGAGGCATTTAGCGATAGAAATTGCTTCGTAGAATATTTTGGTACTTTTTGCCCGAAATCATTTCAGATACTGCTTATACCGTTCTCTTCTTCTTTTTATGGTAGAGAGAAATTGTTTCGAAGGAAGACGAAACCGTTCTCATTCTACTGGGACATGACTGTTCTCGGTGTTTACTGGAAATGCTTCGGGAACGAAGAACGAGTGTATCATCACACGGTAAGCGCAACGCTTCTGTACGGTTTGCGTGAGGCCTTGGCTGAAATCGCTGAAGAGGGTCTGCCCTCGTCTTGGTTGAGACACGCAGCCGCAGCTGCCAGATTAAGGGACGGTCTTAAATTACGGGGGCTTCGATGTTATGTTAAAATTCCACGATATCAATTATCCACCATAACCTCTATAGAGCTGCCACCTGGCGTCGACGAGAAGATCATTGTGCGACGAGCCATGGACAGGTAAGGACATACTTCCAATTTCGGTCCTTCTGCTTTGCGGCACTAAAAGGAGGCTAAATACAATTATAGTTTACATATTACCGAAATACATGTTTTTATAATATTGCAAATATCAGTGCATTTAAGATATTGACAAATAAGTGAAAAGAAAGTTTATACGCTACTTTTATACATGAACGTGGAGTGACTTCTTTGTATTGAATAGTGTGCCAACCTGTGTCACAGTGATTTGTTCTTATAATCAGTTGTGACGCCTTGTTTTATTTACTATTGTTTTGGTTCTGTTAGGTACAAAGTCGATATTAGCCCAGGCTTGGGACCGACTAAAGGGAAAATTTTGCGAGTCGGTTTGCTAGGATCTAACGCTGCGTCGAAGACAGTTGATTTAGTTTTACGTGCCCTTGACGACGGATTCAAACAGGCCTCGCGATCGAAGCTGTAAAGTAAAATTAACACTGCGTTGTCATCAACAACGTATTGTGTGAGTAATTATTTTTCCCATTACTGTATGATTGACTTGTAAGATTTTGTAGATAGGTCGTAATAATAATTTGAAAACTAAATACAATGATTATTCCTTCCCGGTTTTAGACGAAAACATATATTTAGTACGTGAAACTAAACAGTGACTGTTAATGACCTATTATGATATTTATGGATAAAATTTATACAATAGGGAAATGTATTTTCCTTTTTATCGCGGTGCACGTAAAGGATATAAAAAATATTACAGTGCATGGAACATAGCAGTGATTGGATGTTTATATTGTCGATTTATTTTTACGGTTACAACGGAAATCATAACTTTTGCATGTTATTACACGTATCAATATATGAAATAATAGCTATAATTGCAAAATTTGCGGAAATACTGATATTATTTTATGAATTTCTCGTGTTGCATCACGTGTACACTTCACACTTGAGTTACATTCACCAGCGTAATGTGAGTTGCGGTACAGTAGGCGTTGGCCAAACTACATTAACGTACAGTGAAATAAAAGTTACAGTACAGTTTAATAACTAATATTCTTACTACCAGGAAACCATTGCTAAAGAGAATTAACTTATGTTTAATTTCGTTTCATTTTTTTCAAAAGAAATCTATAATAACATGAGTATAGAGGTGGGTTCTATTATCTAGCAACTTTTTGTTTACTTTTATAAAATGCCCCATCGGTGGATCATCTGTTGTTAATCCAGACTTTGATTGACTGTGGCGTGTTTTGAAACATTTTGTGAAACACAAGGAAGGCCAAGTCATGTGTATCTGTTTATTAATAGAAATACTGAAATCGGCATACAATTATTTCTAATATAATTATCTGTTTACGTTCAATTATACGATTTATTACATTCATTAGCAATATCAACAATCGATTACTCTCTTTCTTTTCTCCCCTCTCATTCTCACAGTTCTCTCATTTTCTCCCCCTCTCTCTCTCTCTCTCTTTCTTCCTGACTCGATATTTTTCGAGCAAGAGACGCACACATATTCCACTGTACGTGTAATGCAGTTACACAATCTGATTGAAGTAACGACGGTATTAGCGAGTTAATTCACGATTAATCACGATTCAATTGACAATCGTTTTGGCACAGTACGGATCAGCCTAGATCCCTGTACATAACCATTCTCTGCGAACCTAGAAAATTCGCAAACGTGTCTCGTTTTGCGTATTAAAATATTGCTCGATGCCCCTGTATCATATGAACCCGCGAAATGTGAGTTGTCATTACTCGAACAACACATTTTTCGTTTCCTTAACGGTATTCCACATTTACATACACAGTGTGTCTCATAACGATTAATAAAATGAACCAGTCAAAATATGAACAGAACGTGTCGAATAAAATTTCACAGTACGAAGTTTCGTTGATTGTCACTGGCTGGAGTGTCAATCTTCTACTGCTTGCTGTGGTTGTTTCTGACAAACATTGGTGTTGTTACGGTACTATACTCCCGAGAAATGAAGTTTAATCACGAATACACTTTTTCACGTTACTTCTTCATGTTTATCGTAAAATCCTGCCTTGAAGCACACTCTGTACAACCGAGGGTTAAATATCGTAGACCGTGGCAAGCTGAATACTGTGTCATCACATCGACACGCCGTACAGATGTCGTTTCGATCGCTGATTCGAATTTTTTTAAGGCACTAGCGCGGCATTCTGCGATCACTGAATATAATTTATACATAACAAATTTACAATTTGATGCGGAACGTTCGTTCTCACGGGATACATACGTGATTCTTTGAATCGGAAATGGTCACAATTACTACCTATAACTGAAGAGAGTTTTTTCAATTAGGCGAGAACAATAAACCTAGAAAGTACACTGTGACCGTGTCCAATTCGAGCACGCTTTACCGACAGATCACGGTTAACAAGCACGATCGATCAGTACGATAACGTTGCAACGGCCTCGGCCGCCATTATTCAGCGTCTCTGTATAATTTCCCGTCTCTCGTGTCCCCGGTGAATGCATTCGGCGAACGTGTGGCAACAATCGTTATTTCAATACTTGGCACCGCTGATGCGTGTGTAAATCAGCAACGACGTTAGGCGAGTTAGTAAAAATAAGAAAAAAAAAAAAAAGAGAAAAATTAACGCGAGCGTAATGCATTTCAGGACGATACAGTATCTCTTGACAGCGAGGTTAACGCTTCCCCGCCAAGAATAGTATAACATACGTATATATTTACGGGGATTACTTTAACACTTGGCCAGCAGGGACTTGTCAAAAATAATAGAAAAACGCGCGTGATAAAATAGTTCCTTTATAAAAATTATGAACGATTCGATCGATCAATCTGTACGTGCGATACTCGTCGCTAAACCAGTGCCTACTATATAATTGTATCTAAACGTCATTTATATACGATTTCTTTTTTACAAATCAATCTTTCCATAGTAAATTATATTATTTGATCGAAAGTAATATCCATGGCTTCTACATTGGCTACCAAAAATAACTGAAATAATAGATCTAACCTCCAATTTAGGGTTCTGGTCGGAATTTCGTGACACTGTTTTCTCCATTTCCCACTGGCTAAGCGTTAAACGACCGTGAATATAATATTTCTACGTAAGTGATATTATAAAATAGAATAATATTAACATTAATAATAATAATAATAATCAACCGTCGAAACAGCGAGCCCGACAGCTACAAAGATCCACTATAATTATACATATAAATACTATGAATAATATTAATCGCGGATATTGATACTCCATTAATAATAGTCGTGATTTTCGTTACGTATTACATGCGCTTATATACAAAATGTCGACAATAAATCGTCTTCAAAGGCAACTACGCGAGTAACTAGCACTAATAGCGTTGACTAAATGTACGCACACGTTTTGTTTTTTTTAAGGCACTACACGGTTGAACGGCGAATCAACGCCTCCCGTAACGATCCGCAAAACCTTTCGTGTGTGTATAGTCGATATGGATAGTTCAGATATGTTTGAATCGGACCCACGATGTAAAATCATTTACTCTCGGAAGCCCAAACTGTTCCCTTCGGCTTACTCAGAATCACTTTTCAAATTGAACGTAATTCACTTGTGGTCACGGTGATGTACCAAGAGATAATTTATATTACAATGTTTCTCCAATGTATAATAATGCCGAAAATTTGTACTCGAAATACTTCGTGCATATAAACAAGGTGTTTATAAAATAAGACGGTGTATCCCACTGAATCGAAATGATAATTGATATTACTTTAGCTACGCTATTTTAGGAACACCTTGTAAATTACCATAGACATAGAAAAATAAACGGCGCATCCCCCTGAAATGGGCGTCCCAAGTTTAGAAAGAAGCAGATAACTTTTGGAGGACTTAGCATCTCTTTTCAAATCTAAGTAGTGGAAGGTGAGTTTCTGAGGATATGCATTTTTAATGGTCGACTCAGTTATATTAGAAATAGATAGCAAGTCCTTCGAAAGTAACCCGTCTCTTTCTAAAGTTGGAATGTCGGCCCAGCCTGACCCGCAGTCTATATTTTTATGTCTATGTATATTACAGAAAAATTATGTGAATTTTTTTCGACGATTATTGGAACTTTTTATTGGAAGAATAGTGTCGTGGTGTGTACCAGAGGTGTGTAGAAGTGGCCAGGCCTGCCAGCTGCCGCGATACACGTGAACTACCCCCCATCCCTCCTCCTGTTTCTATCTCATCTTTCAATACCGATCGGATCACCGGTCATTTCTCCAAACTTGCCCGAAAAGACGCTTCAGAGCCTTAGACTAGATAATAAAGAAATGCACAGACAGCCGTGATACACTTAACTCGGTGCAAGCTGGGAAGAACAATGGAGGCGGATTGTATCGGCTGCTCAAGGTCGGTTAACAATGTTTCAGAATTTTTTCCTTTATTTTCACTAGAATATTCGGCATAAGGAATATTATAATAACAGGTGAATGACCTTGAGCAGTTAATATTCCCTGCCTCAAGGGCGACAGATGTGAGATTGAGAAATGGTGTCAGTACACATGAGCAGTCCACTTGGAAACTAGGTATCTTAATATCTCTCGAGTGGAACTAATGAAAAGAAAAGTATGTCAGAGAAGAATATCAGTGTATCTACAAAAGCTGTATTTGTCATATTACTAGCTACCACTGCAAGACAAAAACAGTACTTCTTTTCATTGGACTTATTGTATTGAAAAAAAAAATAATTATAAAAAGAATTTTCAGTTAAATCTCCTTTCTATCTCGTATGTTATTATCTATTCTTGGCTAATATACGTTTATTTAAACTACAACTCAACGGAAGATATTAAGGTGACCTGTTTCTAATGGACCACCCGGTGTATATAGACAGATTAATCGTTGACTTCTACCACTTAAAATCTCAGATCTTCGACACTCGTCATATCCTCAAGAACACTATCGAATTTTGATTCGCTAGATATTCAATAATCATGCGCGGGGCTGCCAAGCCTGGCAATTGCGTTGGAAATTACGAGATACTATCTTTCCAAACGTTAAAGAATTTCTACAAATATACTCCCATTCCTTGTTGCCTTAAAAAATTCTAGTTTACATTCGTTTCGTATTCATCGGTTTGCATACGTCTAAAAAAAACTACCTCACGCTTAACACTCTCACACACATACATATATTCACTAATCCGAGTGTGCACACATACAATGATAGCGACTATCAACGTTCTCTCAATGCAAATTCTTTTCTCAACTTCGATATTCGAAGCTGTCCCCGCCATGTTGGCCCAACTCTCGTCGAAAGGTGAAGCCCGCTGTCGAATAACTGACACGACCTACCAATAAATACGCCTATAAATTACAAAAAAAAAAGAAAAAGTTACAATGAAACATAGTCACCGTTATCGCAACAGACAGAAGTAACGCTCGCGTGGTAATAGCAAGCGCACGTCCCGCCATATCGACGATTTAACGATCAACCGATCGCGACGTGTCCGTTAACGGTAATCGATAATTAGCGATAGTATTTTATACTATTTAGAATAGTAATAGAAACATCGATAATAATATATAAGACAACGACAATGACAAATGAGAACGATGGTCGTGCGACGATATAACGATGAACGAATGAACAATGAAAATGATGGCTATCGTGGTATGATTAATAACGTTAATGATGTTAATCGTAAGAATTAAATCGTAATCAATAAGTTTGGAGTTAATAGTAAACATTAGCATTTTTTTTTTCGCGCAATGATAACTGATGCCACCATCGGAGGTTCTTCAGTCTTCTTTGGTTGCTGGGTAACTTGGTGAGGTTGGTGGGTACGGTAGGGCTCTGTTTTTACCGCGTACGACTTTATATGTACTCCTGTTCTTACTCCCAGAGGGCTATCGTTACTTTTCTTCTCCCCCCCTTCCCCCGGTTTATTTTTCCCGCTGAACCGAACACAAGTCATCGGTACTGTGTCGGGTCACTCGAGAATAGAGAGCGGTGGTTGGCTTCCGGTCCGTTTATCCGTTAATGAGAGCCAATTGATTAATGAACGTCTGCTTGTGGGTGCTGCGGACTCCAGAACGACTGACGGTGAATAAGAATGGCGTCTGACGGTCCACGTTCCCTTCCCCCCAACGGGGGGCTCGTGTTATTATTATTATCGTTATTATGACTTCCTGCATGAGCACCATCCTTCAGGCCCCCCCCCTCCCTCCTCTCGGGCGATCATTCTGTTTTGCTGATTACCATCTTCCGTCATTCAAAACGATCTTTCGGATCGATCAATAACGACCGTCTTTCCCTTAACAAATTCTGGGCCGTTGTAAACTTTTAGATCTCTGGAGAGAGTAGACGAATAATCGATGAACGTTGGAATTTGGAATTGTTCCAGACCACGTTTAAGTGGATATTATATCTTGGGTTGGTCTGGTTATGTCTCTAAACATTATTGCAAACAGAATGGAAGTTGACACGTGGACCACACAAAGGTTTTAGCGATCGTCGATTCAGATGTCATTGCTCGAATCGGACGAACTCATAATGTCAATCGAGATTTATGTACCCTCTTGATCAGACGGCCTAGTTAAAATTCGGCCCTCGTGTGTCATCGAATTACAGGCGGCGTAGTAGATTCGAACGATATCCCCAGTCATGCCTTGGAACCAGACGTCTCTAGAATACTCAGAATTGGACTTAGATCACGGTCATCTGTAAAACACTGGAGAAAGTATATCTTTAAATCTTCATTGGATCAATTCAGTGAAGGTCTCAGGAATCAGCATCGTCTCTTCAATTCCAAGTTACCCAATTCTTAACTCCGGTCGAACATCTACAGGCTTCAAGATATTGGTACCGTTTCTTTAATTCTGAACGTCCCAAATCCTTAATTTTCGATCTTAGCATTTCCAATCCAATACCAGAAAGTGTGTTTTATAGTGCATTTTTCTCCACTTCAAAAGTCTGCTTCTATCCGCAAACGACAGGAGGGCTTAGGACACCGGTGTCCATCCCCTTTGCTCTTCGAGTGTTCAATTTTTCAATTCTAATATTCCAATTTCTCCGTCACTCAGCCCTAAAGACCCGAGCACCGTTTCGTCCCTATCGGATTGGATCCAATTTGGAGGAACGGTGAGTCCCTTCGTCAGTCGGTTCTCCGGAGTCCGATCACCCTCGATGACTTACGACGATTATGGCCCGGGCTGGCCGCTGATCCGAGATCCACTATGAAACACGGCCCAGGAGCGTTTTCCGTGCACCAGGAGAGTTCCAAGGAGGCTGATACGGCGGATCGTCCGACCTGACTCAGCTGAGCTCGCGCGGCGTCACCGAGTGCCGGGCCGGATGATGATTGTTGTTGCGATGATGACGCCTCGCGCGACGGCATTGTACCGTGCAACAGTCGTCCACGTCCGCCACGTACTCGCCCCGTTTCATCTGATGGGCGATCGAGTTGCAAAGCGCCCGTGGACACCGTTTCCGGTCGCACTTCACCTCGCCGTTCTGCAAAAATCCAAACAGCGAACCTTGGTTTAAGACGGGACCGCCATGTTTCGTCCAGACTGATTCGATTGGTAACCAATAACAGAAAGGTTATTACCCCCCCACCCCCTCATAGTAATCCCTGTTTCTCGTAAGAGGCTTACTTCGATTTACCCTTTCAGATCTGAATTTTCTTTTAAGCGTAAAGGAAATTTGATTACACGTTTTAATTTAGGAGACTGTTTAGATGATATTTTGTTTATTTTTTTAAGATAAAGGAGACTCGAAAAATGATGACTTAAAGACCCCCTAATTCCACGTGAATTATATCATATCTTATTTTGAACAAAATCCCAGACATCGAGGGGAAAAAAATGATCGATTTGGCGTGGAATGACCCTGTTGGAAAAACAATTCAGTGCATCTGTTTATCGACGGTCGTAGAAACGGGAGGGTAAAATATTTCGCAAGGATTTCGAGTCTTCGACGCCAGAGGCGTTGCAATAGCTCTGTATCGATCTCAAGGGTAATCGAGATCTCTCGCGTATATCGAAAATGGAATAACCTTTCTCTCGGCGGGAATCGGTGGCCGCGTTCCCATTTCTGATCGTAATGGATGGACCCTTTTAATGGTCGCCGAGTCTGGGCGGAACAGGTCCGGTTAAAGGTTTTCTCCTTAAAGGTCTCGCGTCGCGGTCGTGTACGGCAGGGACGAAGCTGCGACGACGACGACGCCGCTGGACCGATTCTAACGAGCGTGCAAGAGGCAGTGTGCGGTTTTTTCGACGGAGGCCTTCGCATAGTAATGAAACCGCGAAACGAAAACGCCCCAGGGGCTTTCTTGCGCGCCTATTAAAACCCGCCGATAGCCGGCGTAACTCGTGCCACGGCGGAAGAAACGAATCGAGACTACACGACACGAGTCATCGGCCATTAGAGATTTTTTGCTGTTGCTCGCGCTACTGCGTTCGAGCTATCAAACCGCGCGTGTAATGTATATTGTCGAGAGGAGTTGTAATCGTAAGATGGGTCATCGAGGGTTTTTAAATAGTTTCGAGACGTTCTGTTTCAAGACTCAAAATCCTCGGGTTGACAGAGTTAAAAAAACAGATTGTCACTACTTGTTGCGACCCAACGCTGATAGGCGATGGTCGCAATGCTCGTCGACACGGTCACCAAACCATCATAAACAGAGATTTCTGGACAGCTGCACATCACGTGCAAAACAATCGCGGTCTTTAAGACCGTTTCTTATATTTCGGCGCTGACTCACAGGAATCCAAGTAACAATGCAAACACCTAACCCCACTTCTTCCAATTCATAGTACCATCTCTTGAACCACCTACACCAACCAAACTTCTGCATTTCCCACCAATCAAGAGTCGATCCGTTCCAGCAAGCACCTATACATTCCCTCACTCACGAGAACACATTCAACCGTCAACAGGAACACATCGATCACAACCAGTACTTAAGTGAAGTGTGTTACTAAGTTGTGTCATTCATTTAAAACATATAATACCAATCGTCATCACATCATTTTTCCAACGAGCTCCACGGGATTAATTTACCAACGAGCAGTGGTTAATTCGCGAGGTTATCGCGAGACGCCGTATCACTACTATTGCAATCCTATTGTGAGTAAAGTGACTCGTTAATCAGGTGACCTTGAACGACCTCTGCTCCGGGGCACGTCTAGAACAGGTACTGGCAAGTGTCGTTGTGCCGTGTGCCTGAGGAAAAGGACACCGGGAACCAAGGCTCGATAAGAGAAAAAGATGTGACGGTGCCCCTGAAATTTCCTGTACACGTTCATTCACAAGAAAGTCGTCCACTTCGCCATGCAACGACACTCCGGACCTCCGAGCGACTTTTGCAAGAACCGGTTCCCAACATTGTTTAAAAGGACATAAAACATTTCTGACAGTCGTTGGCATCGTTACAGAAAGTATCAGTGTTGATCGCTGATGGCAGGCGGATAATACATTGAAAGTTCAATGTCGGTCACCGGTGACCGTCGCGACGGTCTAACTCGTAATATATTTTTAGCTGTCGTACGTCGCTTCTGAAATGCCTACAAAATAATTCCTAGGGACGTAAAGTGTCAAGTAAGTGAAAGATTTTTTATACGTAAGGTACGTAAAGGTACGTTTCCACGTGAGAGTAAATCGTGACTTTTACGGTCTTTGCACTGAATGTATGACTTTTGTCGTCGTGAAAACAAGTGACATTGGTTTACATTGTCGTACAATGTCACGACAACAAATGCCATGACTTTTACTGTCATATGAAAACGGACCCTTAAGTTTCGGTTCACTCGAGATCGATACCTTGAAGTTGGTAGGCAGACGACGTGTGTTTTCTAAATCGTGTCGTCGAGAAACTTCAGGCACGAACGGAATCCCGACTGATGACGGGGGGTTAAGAGCGATCGTGTAAACCGGAAATTGTCGCGCACGCTCGCATAAAGTGCCGTGACCATCCTGCTGCTACTAGTTTCTCGACGGTACGTGTCCAATGAAAGCCACTTTATGTCTACGCGACACCAGCCGGTGATCCATTATTATTATCGGCTCGAGCTTTCTTCTGGTCGCGTTTCCGTCGTACCTCATTTAACACTTCAACTATACCGGATAAGGGTTTGATCGAATATTCAGAGAAAGACATTTCAACTCAAAGAATGAAGTGCTCTAACCAATACATCAATCAGTACTTTTCTTTGAATAAATAGTTTTTTTTCAAGCAGATTTGAATTAGACTTATTGGACGAATTTTGGGTAGAAATCAATATGGCGTCAAACTAACCTGTAAAGTACAGTAAAAATATTTGGTGTTACATATGCATAGCTTCTGAACCGGGAGATTTCTAAACTTAAACGTGTACTTTTAGATTCCACTCGTTAAACTATTAGGAAATACAAAAAGAGGTCAATATTGTTTGGTCTGACAAAGTAAAGTTCAGCCCAGCAGTGAAACTCGACCCTTTTTTTTCCATTGATCGTAAACGACTGGAATGACCTCGTCGTTGCAACTTGATCATGGAAATATCCGCATTGTCGCGGATTAATTCGGAAAAAACAGCAGCAGTCAAACGAGGACTTGTTCACCGCGACGGACAGTTTTATGTTGGATAATAAAAAGAAGATGTGAAGTGTCAGTATTAAATTTCATTGGAATTTTTTTACTTCTCTTTTCCGTTACACTCGGTTGCATTTACTACGGATCGATAAAACCCACAGTCCACTTATTACTTATTGTTCGAATAATTTTTGCCCGATTTAATATTCGTTAATTTACGATTCAAGCGGCAAGACCTTTTTAATCATGCGTTTGAATAATGGCTGTTCGAATGTTATTCTATATTATTTCGCTCGTGATATCGATTTTGATAATTGAAAATCGTAACCGTAACCGGGTTTATTTATTGTTTTTTATTATTTTATTAACTGCGGAATATACGATCAGGTACGACCTAGTTATAATCCATACACACGCCGGAAGTCGATGAATGATCGTCATCGAACAAGAATCGTTACCGGAAATTGTATATCAATCACTGACATGTTCAAGGTGCAACTTATGCGACTGCAACCCATTCCGTCTCCGCCTCCTCTCTCTGTATTACCCACAAAATTACAAGTTGCCTCTTTACTACCCAGAAGCACTTGCAACCTGCGCCACTGGAAGTCGTATAAATTTTCCGACGACCACAAAATACGTTAATATCCCCGCCTACTGTTATTTATTGCCCCGACGCTTTAAATAACCTGTTCACTAAAAGCTGCGTGTATTGGTTGTATACAAGGTTTCGAACCACCGCGATTTCGAGTAACCCCCATCTGCAACTCAAATCTGCATCTGTACAAACTTCTTATAAAAAACAGTTAAATGATTAAAGAAGTCTTCTATCAACTTCCGGTCGAGGTTTCGAATCACTCGGGCAAAAAAAAAAAAAGTAAATGGCTGCCTGGATTAACCGGTGGCCTAAATAAGCGGAATTTATTGTATTTTATATTAGAATTTTTGCATCAACAAAGTATTAGATAATATGGCACAATGGGCCAGACCGAATGTAATACCGTGTGGTTGTGCGTGTAATCTTCGAATCTTGAAAAGGTAAATTAAAAATGAAGAAAATAAAATAACTGAAACGTCCTCTCAGATCTCCTCAACACCCACCGGTGGGTGGTAGAGCCAACGTTGGGAGTCTAATTGCTTTAAGCAGTGTAACTAAACGCGAAATATAGTTAAACAAAAAATTATAAAAGGCTTTCCGAGCACCAGCGATTCTCTCACCTTGCACCTGCACTTGACGCACTTCATTTCGCCGTGCGAGTGGACCCGTGGATGCCACTCCATCCCGTTCTCGTACGGTCCGCCCAGGGGGTTCTTGCAGCCCCCGGAGGCTAGTATCTCCTCGGCGGTGCGTTTGGTCGACGGCGCGGCTTGGTCACGCGGCAAACGCGACGTGTCGCCGGGTACGCCGGTGTTCAAGGTACTAGGCGTCGTCGCTGGGCACTGTCTGCAGCAGGCCTTCTTGCTCGGCCTAAACGCCAGTTTCTCGTCGCAATCCAACGGCGGGCAGTGTACCCGCGGACACTTCACCTCCAGCGTGATCGGCTGCGTGATAAATGGGGATCGTTATTGCAAAATTCACTTCCTCGAATAAAGGTGTAACAATTGATACAGAGTGTTTTTGTAAAGGTTCTCCCCGATTTCAGTAGTTTCTTGGGCCATAGACTGCGGACGTTTATGGAAAATCATAATGTCAGATACAGTGAACTCTTGTTATATTGCCGCGGTCGGGGTGGTAGCAAAGCTAAATTCTCGCGCGGCTGGGTGCTGTGAACTTGCCAAACAGTGATGAAACGTTACAAATTTCGAGCCACTCGAGCTACGAATGTCGACCAATTGAAATCTTCGATACGTCGACATTCGATACCCCCACCACCTCGAGTCACTTGGTCGATATTCACGGCACTCGAGCGGCTTGAAGTTTGGAACGTGTCATCGCTGTTTGGCAAGTTAACAGCACGCAGCGGCTCGAGAGTTTGGAGTTTGTAACGTTATCAGACTGTTTGGAAGCAATCTTCAGTTCGAAGATTGTCATGGATTGAACTCGGCCTGAATTGTTTCCTTGAACTCCTCCGTCAGATGTTTAAACTAAACATGTTGAAACAGTCTGTTCGCCAACACATCACTACATACACGTATACTTACGGTTCATTAGGACACTTGCCAAATGTGAGATAACCTTGAAGAACCATTAACGAATTACTGCTGATATTGAATGCATAGACTTTAGAGAATGTTAAATCGTGTACTATGTACAGGGTGTCTGATTGTGAATATTTAAATGATTAAATTATGAGGAAATTACCAATGATGGTCACTAAAGTAACTGCAAGAATAATGTTTTCTCTTGTTTAAAAATTCGAAGATATCCCATTCAATCTTTCTGATCTACGCAACCATCCCTTGAGTCATTTTTCCCTATGTTCAGTTTAAATGTTGATCACCATTGAATAGCACCATGTACGTACAGGCTAATTATATTTCAATCAATTTAGGTTCGCGTAACTTTGTTATCGTTCATTAGCGTAATATCCTTGTTCCGTAGTATACAGGGTGAAACAAAAAAAAGGGTTTATAACTTCTGAGGTAGATAGTACTTGCCAAACAATGAAACAAAAGTCCTAACAAAAACTAATAGGAATCGTAGAAAACCTTATGTAACTAGAAAAAGAAGAAATTGTAAGCTAATCCATTGTTCACATTGTATATATATACAGTTTCTAAAAATCCAGCAGGGTGAAAATGGTTCACTACAGAGTCCACAACATACCGAACGAAATTCCGGTTCCAGTTTTTGCTGAAACAAGCGTCACCAGTTTCAATTCGACATAATCAACGTGCAATGAAACAAAAAGGAAAGATACTCAAAACGATTGAGCCCGAGTGCTACACGCTCGAGGATTAAATCGCAATTCGTCAGCGCGTTCAAGACACGTATCGAATGGGACACGCTTTAATGCCCCCGGCTCCGGTCGTTCCGGTCGAGGGTGATTTAAGTGACAAGCAACGGATCAAAACCGATCGCCTTATCTCAAATAACGAGCGTATTGACTTGTTGCAGCCGGGTTACAGACAACGGCCTCAAAACAATTTACTAATATCTGTTTAGAAAGGCCTGTCACCGATCGTTCGGGCCGCTTCATGACTCGGCAGAGAGCAACCGCATTCTTCTGGCGCAATGAGAAAGCGCGCGCGCCACGGCTGAATTCTTTTTTCCGCCCGTTGTGCTAGTGGTTCGCCTTATATCGTCGACCTCTTAAGCTGCGTCTACACTATACGCTGTAACAAGTTATACAGGTTGTCCCAAAAAGATTGGACAATCCGTAACACGCATATTCTCCATGCAAATGTACATCGAAGAGTCCTCTATCGTTTTGTATCGTCCAGCATTATAATGTCTGTCGCCGGGGATCACATGTTCCAGGTTGGTTCGAGGGTTTAACAGGATCTTAGTTCACGAACTTACGTCACAAGTGCAGACTGCACACGTGTCGAATCCTACAGGCGGTAGATAAGGATGCCAAGACGCTCCCGCCAGATGAAACTGGCTAGCCAGGGTACAGCCTCTCGTTATGGAGCTAACGTTCTTCCCCGTCGCGTTCATGTTGATTCCTGGACCTGAAGGCAGAGGAGACATTACATATTTCACAATAATATCCTCCATAACAATAGCAGAAAACTGGACATGTCGCTATACATGATAAACAAAATTTCATTAATCTATCTATAAAGACACCCTAAGAACTAGAACAGATTTCACGAGCTATGTTTTTATTTAGGCCGCTAGGACTCATTGGTGCACAAAACAAAAAAGAGGGGAGTTCAAGCTTCCCCGTGTTCCTCTTTGTTTCTCAGAATCAGTCTTTACCGATTACTCGAAAGGGCCCACAGAGACGACAGGGGGTCTTTTCTGCTAAATCTCGTTAACACCGCAAGTCCGCCACCGACGGGGGGGGGGGGGGGGTCGTTTCACGGTGAACGACACAGATTCGCGGGAACGGCGCCGGTAGTATCAGGGCGAACAATCTTCCGGGAAACCGGTGGCAAGACACACATGCGTTTATCTAAAATTAATTCCGCCGACTTGCACCCGGTCTGCCTCCGGCGCAAGGACAAGCCCCCACCACCCGCCCATTCCTCCGTAACCATGGACAAATAACGCGACAAATAGAACCGGACGAACGGAACACCGAGACGGGGGACCCAAGCTGCGGGGATTTAATTATATACAGCTAAACGTCAATGCTCTGGCCAGATACGATCTGAAGAAAATGACGGATCAGCGACTAGGGGCCCGTAACGCTTAATTCGATTCCGCTCGATGGACGTTTTTCCACCGGTACCAGACCCCCGCCGCCGCTGACGCCGCCACCGGACCGGGTAATACGTCTCTATCATTCGAACAGGTCGGATGGAAACCGCTACTACTTGATTTGTCTGGCCGATTAGGTCGGGGCAATGAGACTTGCAAATGATCCCTTGTCGGGCTAGTATGTCCGGAGGTGAGTCACGCGAACCACGGGCAAGATTGTTGTGTATTTTCTAGATGCGTACGAAGAGGAAAAACAAGATGGCGGGCGGAGAGGAAAAACAAGATGGGGTCATTCCACGGGAAATCGGAAATGTTGTTGGAGTAACCATTTCGGATTTTGTTGACACTTGCAGCTGTGTAAAATAGAGTGTCAACAGTGACACTTCAATAAATCATAATTGTCGAACTAACAAACTGATCAAAATTAGGTTTGCGGGTGCTTATAGTGGAGACATAATAAGAGTACCCAATAAAAATGATTTCAGTTCAAAAATAAATTTTTCAACCGTTTATTTTGCAATTGTTCTAAATAAATAAATAAATTATTAATAATTTCATTCCAAACGTTTATACAGCAGAAAGAGCCATTAAATTTTCATTCGAAGCTAAACAGGAAAATAGGAAAATACACATTAACCTTCAAAGGGTAGTTTCGCCAAGAAAAAAATCGAATATAAGCAAAAACGACAAATTGCCATATGCTTTTATCAAGGCCCCCTAGAAACCTACGAAGTTTACAAAGAAATGGAGATTTTCAGGGTATCGAAGTGGTTAGTTTTACATGTCAATCGAATGAGAACAATGTAAGGTAACGCCTAAGAAACATAGTCGTGTAATTTAAACGGGCTGTAGATAGGCGTGGTTAATTCTACGCGATTACTTTCATGCAATGTGTCACGGGTAATCGGATTTAATATCGGCCGCGCGGACGTACACTGTGCGGCCGTTCCCTTAATTCCCCCCGGTTCTCCTGGTCTCTCGGTGTAGGCTCTTGCGCTTATCGAAACAACATCGTCAAAAAGGGAGGATAATTAATCCGACGGTCGCCGGCGCGCGCGTTATCCCATGTGTTACAACGACTCCAGAACCCGACAACATGTCGTTGGTGCCTCGATGATGTTACTTCGAGGCTTTGAAAGATTCCCATGCAGAATCTAACAAAATCTGTGAAACCTGTTGCTACACGTAGGCGTCGCGACCGTAGGTGAAACTCTGTGGTGAAGAGAAGTCTACTTTCACGCACGACACTTTAGGAAATAAACGAACAATTTATCCTGTCCACGCCTCTTGATCAGCTTTCAATTTTTCCGTTTCTTTACGACGGACCTGGGAAGAGATAGAAGCCTGCTCTGAGAAAGCATGGAACTCGAATCTAAATTCTGCGAAGTAGGCGAGCATGGACCAGCCGAATTGTGTGATAACATTTTCACGAAAGTGTTTATGATTCACTTTATATTCTGCTTCTCAAAAGTATATCGTAAGTTGGGCGGGTCGAGAGACAGATGGGCGTGCCGAAGCTAGTAAAGGGGCAGTCGAAGAAATACGGTATTAGAATATGTCAGACGCTTATCTGCAATCCAGATTTCACGCATCATTTCCCCCAGGATCATCAGTATGAGATCATCCGTTGCGAATTGTTTTGAAAAGACGATTATACCTGAGCATATAGGGCAACAGTGTCCGGCAGGGGCCTTCAGTTGCTTCGCCTGAGGACAAGTGAGTGCTGGACACGGGACCGGGTCGCACTGCGCCAGACCCCGGTAGCAATGGCACATTGAACAAGGGTCGCTGTTTGACGTCCACTGGGTGCCCTCCTCGTAGAACCTGGTCTCATGGTAGCAAGCTCCGGTCTCGATATCCGACCTAGGCGGATGAAGGTTATACGCAACCACCGAGGCCACGTCGTTGTCCGCGTAGTGGGGCAGACAGCTCATTGGCGCCCTGGCTTTGAACGGTGCCTTCAAGATCCTGTCCGACTGCTTATCGGTTACTTCGAGAAATCCAATACCAGACTCGATTCTATAGAGCTCGACAGGCGATAGCCCGGTGACAGAACCCTCGAGAACGTAACCGGTGAACTCCTCCAGTAGTCTTCTAGCGACCGGCGCCCCCTGGGCCAGAAGCGGCATCGTCTCCAAGTAAAGCTGGAACGTACGCGGCTCGTGATTGTTCGACGCAGAAGAGGTCTGCGGGAATCCAGCGATCTCGAGCTCGTAGTGCAACGAACAGTCCAGATCCACCGCGGTCCAAACCAACCCAACCGGCCCAGGATGAACAGGCTCCTGGGAGAGTCTTCTGAGCAAAACAGGCGCGGTGGTGTCCCGTGCGTCAGCGACTGGTCTCTGGAGCAATCTGCCGCGCAACATCGATCCAACATGCGAGGCCGCGACCACCGATAATTCTCCGTTGAACAACGGTTCCAGCAACCTCGGACCTGGACGGTCCAAGGACCCATTGGCTAGACCGTCCACCAATGACGGGGTCAGATCCTCTAACTCCGTTCGACGTTTCCCACCCTCGTCGACTAGAGTCACCAAAGGACTCTCCTCTTCTAGGCCTATCAGCTGGACACCGTAACGAAGGGAACCAGCACGGTCCAGGAACGCCCAGGCGATTCCAGACGCGGCGGATGGAGTCTCCGACTGTAGCAACGTTTGGTACATGTCGCAGGTAGCTCTGGGTCCTACCACACCGGCTAGTCTAAGCGCCTGTGGGTCTTTCCGAGACATTATACTGATGGATAATTTCCCTCTGGTCAGTAGACGTAGATCTGCCCCCGACAAAGCGCTTCGAACCTCCCCGAAATTCAGCTCGTTCGATGGCTTTTTCACCACTATCTCTTCACGCAGGACTACATAGTCCTTCTCCGTGTGTTCTAACTGGACGATCAGAGGCACTTCGGACACGTCGTTCGGCAGAAATACACCGTTGAAGACCAACGACACGTGGATCGAAGGAGCTGACGCGGATGACGCTGAGACTATGGCCGTTGCACCAGCCCCAGACATCAGGGAACGATCCACTCCCATGGTTGGTTCCAGTAGCGAGGAGAATTGCTCCGTGGACAGGGCACGATATCGTGACAATTGTCCCGTCAGTGTGGCCGATGGCTCCCATATGAAGGAGACGTGAAGACGTTCCTCGCGTAGCAGCTTCCTGTAATCCCGTGGAACTCGTCTCCAGACACCGCAGAGCTTCCCAGTCGCGTTCTGGTAGACACCGCCGATAGGATCGATAGTTTGTTCCTCGAGGATGCTACCGGAACCGTCCACGAACTGTATGCTGCGCGGACGGGGCGTTGATGTCGATAGGTAGAACGCGTAGTAGAGGTTCTTCCGGTGGAAGGTGAAACGACCGGTGGCTATATAGTTATAGGCACTGTTGTACATGGATGTCGGGCTGGGCTCGTCGCGGCGCAACGCTTGAGACGTACGACCGGTTATGAGGGTCCCGAAATCTGGAATCAATGAAACTTCGTTAGGTGTTGATCCTTGGAGAGTGGGTTTAACAGCAGATTCTACCGTATAAAATTGCCGTTTCTATAGGTCAATAATAGATGTCAAAAATTTGTTATTGATGCTTGGATTTGTTATATGATCTGTATTCCTCGGAGAGATGTTAAAAAAAATTATTTATTTATCTGTTGAGTTATCGACTATTCGAATATCGGCAATTTCACGCGGTACAACCCTAATAATATTCGTTGAGTTGGACAATTACGTTTCAGGCTTCGTTCTTCTTCTTCGGAGGTCAGTTGTGCTGGTAGGTCTTGTACTATGTCCGTACCTGAAACAGACAAAATGATCCGAGTTATGTTCCATTCTTAAGAGTAGAGGCAGTATTTTCATTTATCTGGTTTGGTTTTATAACCCTCAGACGACGTCGATAATTTCATTCGATAAATTCAGCGAAACATGGTTTAAATATTATTCAGACTTATAACAAAAATAATTCCCTCTTCTGTAACTTGTAAATTTTCCGTACGATGTTCAAAGCTTCATATGGAATAGTTTTATACGTTTGTCGTCGAAATTTTCATTCTTGGGGACATACGATAGATGTCGGACTTCTGTGGAGGGGTTGCAAAGCAGGACACATCACGAGTCACGAGTCGTGATTCACGATATATTTGTGTGTGAAGTAAATGATAGATACGCGCTGTCATTCACACATTTCACCCACCACTGCTCGTTGCCTGCCAGTGAATTTGGCGTGCGCTGAGTTGCCCATCACTGAGTCGTAGACTAAAACACGCTCGACAGCGTACACCCCGAAGAGCCCAGCGCAGCGAACGAGCATCGCCGCAAGAAAAATCGCTTTATAGCTCGTAAATCGGTCGTAGACGGCGCACACGCCACCGACGATTACTCCCCTCCGGCGAGAAACTTCTCGTTAAACTTCCGTCCCTTAAGCGGCGCTGATATACGCCGAAGGTTGTTACGCGACGTCGGCCATCGAACCTCTTGCCACTGAAATGATCGAACCCGAGGCATCGAAGCTACAAACGAGGAGACAAGATTCTTTCTGCACACGATTCCAATAAATCCATCCTGCATACACATACAGTGACACTAGATGTCCCGTCCGTCGAGAGGTCGAACGATTCAATATGACGGAGCACAGTATTGAAAAAATCCAAATAATCGGAAATAATTCTGGAAATGGGCGTTTAGCGGTGTGTTCGATTTTTAGCGATTATTGTGGGCCACTTGTGAATTGAAAATGAAAGGCCTAAATTTTATGATTTTTTAATGTAGAATGAACCAAAGTTTCAACTCTTTTATAGTTGTCCAGAGAACAGGATAAATCGAATGAAAATTGCGGCTCCTTAAATGTCTTTTTTTTATGTAGTAATGGCTAACAACAATTTATCGTTGGAACGACTCTTCTCCATCCGAATCATTTTTTGTTTGACTAATTCTCTGGTCTGCTGTAAGTTGGAAGTGAGTGAACAGAGAAGAGAAAGGAGGACGGGGGTATAACCATTCAACCGCGATGCGTGTAAGGCCCATAAAGAATGGTAGGAAAAGAGGCGGTTGGCGCCAACCACCGCTACTACCTCGAATGTTGCCTTTATCGCGGCATACCGCAACGGTCCAGCTGCGCGGACACGTTAATTGGTGGTTCACCGCGGTACGGGCCAATGACAAGAGGTCTGAAATATACCCGCGATGTCGCTTCACCTTTCTGACCCCGTCGTCTTGGCCATCCAACCTTGCGTTTACGAACAAAACTGTTTTAGAGAGATATTTCTACCGCGAGGTAGGAAAAAAAAAATCGATTCTCGTATTTCCTCACTTTTTCCGAGAATTCTAACCTCTCGTAACATTCTCCCGTAGGTACTGCAATATCAAAAATAAAAACAACGATAATTCGAATTTTAAATGTTTAACACAAGCATGGGTTAATATTCTAGGATTTATTTAGCTGTATATTCTTTTATTGCGTTCGGTTGTACGACTATGAATGTCGAAATGTGAATTCCTCTGGCAGTCATGTTTTCAAGATGGCGGACATGGTATGCCTGGAACCTCCGAATCACCTGACTTTTTTCTTGTATAAGAATGAAAGAAAGTACCTTTCTTGGTGTTTCGAGGCTCGAAAAAAACGGTAAAAATTCGAGTATCTTCTCTCGATGGTTAAATACATCGGAGAATCGATGTGAAATTGAAAACTTCCATTTTAAGTGGTGTCATAACACGGTAGCTTTCTTTCTCTTCTAATCGAAATAGGAACAAGTATTTTTTAAGCAAAGATCGATCTGTTGCGTGTGAACTTTGCGCTGAACGTGGTTATGAAACATTCTATACGCAAACAGAAGGAGGTCTAATTTTAGCACGGTAATCGAGATAAGTTGACGTAAATATCAGGGAGAATTCTATTTTCATATTCCGTTAATTATAAACGGACTCGTCGTCGCGGTGCGTGATTTATGCATAATTCTGTTTGTTACATCACCAACTACTACAGGACAGACGGAACGATGAATATAGATCGAATACCATGTGCGATCCATCGATCGAAATTGCCGTTGATCTCCCAGCCCCGGGGTATCGGAAAGCCATGTGGCCCGTGGCGCCTCGTTTCTGTATATTCCACGCGTTTCACCGTCGAGCAAGATGCCGAAAAGGCTGCACTTTTCGATCGATTACGTCACTTTCCATACACACACGCGCGGCGATCTATGTTCGTGATTATTATCCTATTGGCAGAGATCACTAGAGAAATCGATGGCGCGTCCTGTACTGGCCAGACGAAAATAGAAACTTCGACGGAACCATATTAATCTTTCGAAGCCAATAAACTCAGACGATATCGAACTGTTTTATAGTTACACAATAATCCACTGTTTTTCCTACTTAAGAGGTTACATACCTTTGAGCCGTTAAATAAGAGGGAAACCTAAACAATTTTTTTGTATCTGCAGAATTAATGTTTATTAAAAATTCACCATACAATCTTATTATATGTTATTTCCTCAGTAATTTCCGAAAAATTGAGCTATATATCAATCAACGGAAGAAAATGGCTGTCATTTAAATGCGTTTTACTCGAAATGCAAGTTTTCAAAGTTTACGTAAGAGATATAATAGAACCAAATCGGTGCACGAGCATCCGATCGAAAGGCAAAAGTAAGATATCGCTTTCAAACTGAAACACGAATCTATTCGACTCTGTCCATATCCTTTTTCCACAAGGACAGACGGTTTTTTTGCGATCCTCGAATAACAACGAATGCAAATTCCACGGACATCGGATTTTCGTGTAAACGGGGGTTATAGGGTATAGATTCGCGATTTTACGACAAGTAGACGCGGCTAGACAGAGGCGGTTTTAAAGGCGTTCACCGGTCGTAACGGCGACACCTTGCACGGTTACCGTTCCGGCCGAAGGACGATCGTTATTCAGGATTAAGGATGTCCGGTGATAACGGCGCCAAAATCTTCGTCGGCCGCCTAACGAGCTACACACCTTTTACGCCGTTCTCCAACTGGTGGGAGACACCTTGCTTTCTTTTCGACGCATGCTCGTAACCGTTTTATTGGCTGTAACCGATGATTAATCCGGTGTTTCTCATCGGATTCGTATATTTTATCTCCTAAACAAATGTCACGATCGTATCCTAAAAACAGGGATTAAACATCGAGCCAAGGCACCTCGATTAACGGATAATGGAACACTGCTGGTGCTACCGATGCCATAAAAGTCACGAGAAAAAACTACTAATATTGTTTTTTGAATATTCTTTCACATACGCAATTTTGCCGGACAATACGATAATTGGCCCTATTATAAAAATCACTGGAATATAAAAATCATTTCCCGAAACAGCAGTCTTACTGAACTAGATCTTCGTTAAATTAGAATTTATTTTTATAAATATATATATTATTATTTCGGACCACCAAGTGCACCTCAACTCGGCGAAAACAAAGCGCGTCGTTGCATGAGGACGCGGCGTAACGCGACTCGGCGACGGTTTTGATTATCGCAAATAAATCGCGACCGTTCGTTTCGTTCGGCGGCTAGGTAACAGTGATGAGAAAGTTGCACCAGCAAATAAGTAACGGGTTATATGTACATATGTAAATCCTTCTTATCGAAGCCACGGCGCTAACATACACACGTTACATATTAAACGCGTCTATTTCGCTGGATTATTCGCGCGTCGGAACGGTTTCGATCGGAATCCGGTACAGTTATCGGGGGATTTTTAATCGGTCCCGCGACACCGGTAAGGCGCGTATCCACTTGTTGCGTATCCTCGTATCGTATCACTGTTCTGTATCAATATGGAAGGGCAACCGTTGCATCGTTTCGTGTGAAACTGTATGGTTAATACGATACGAGGATACGCGACAAATTGATATGGGACAAATGGATACGCACCTGTACATATACACTCTCTGGCCAAATAATTAGGGCCATCCATAATTTCCCAATTTTTGTCGCCGTAATCGTAGAATTAAGAAGCTAGAATGTAGATATTTTAATAATACGTTTCCATTAAGACCGTTTCGATTTTCTCACACTCCTGACATTTTGCAGCTGTTTTTAGGCGAATATATTAATAACTTGAGGCAATTGTGTCTTTCGTGGCGTATATACAGGGTGTCCTAAGTGTACCTTTCAATATTTCAACTAAAAACTAAGAATTCCCGTAACCGTATCTCTCTTGTCAAGGGTTCACAAACTCATAGGGTGTCCTAAGTATACGTTTCAATACTTCAACAAAAAACTTAGAATTTCCGTAAAAAAATCTCAATTCGTAAGCTTTCCCGTGTTCGATGTAAATTTCAACAAATCCAAACTGTTTTCTCCTATATATACAAGGTGTCCCAAGTCTACTTCTCAATATTTCCAAAAACATCAAACAATCCCGTAACACAACACGTCCGTCTTCCAATCCATCTGGCTCCCGGCATGCGTTTCGGCCAAACCGTTAACCTATCGGCTACAGCCGAAGCGATCGTGTCGGTTCTGGATTGGAAGAATAATGGCTCGCAACGATATCTCCCTCCTACGCCTCCCCCTGACCGACCTTCCAACCCTCCCTCCCTCTAACCGTATTTCTCCTCGTCTATTCTCATTCCCGGGCGCGCGCGCTTTATGCCCGATCATTACGTATGCTAATATTTACATTTAGATTGCACGGCTTAATCGAAGTGACGCCATGCGGTAATATAGCCGGCGCCATGGCGCTAAACCGTGGCGCCTGACCTATCTCTCTCTCTCTCTCTCTCTTTCTCCTTTATCAGCGAACGTTCCGTTTTTCTTTTTTTTTT